TTTCCTGTAATTTACAGTGTTTTTTGCACATTTCCAACACCGATTTTGACCCCCAAAAGTCTGCAAATCACCGTGCCCCCCCCCCCCCCCCCCCCCATGGCTACCGCAGAAAAAACGTCTCAGCGTTTCCAACGCTTTCCGTCATCACCCTTGCCCCCCCCCACCGCCCCAACTGACTCCTTGTTCTCCCCAAAGAGCAGTTTTTTACTGTAATTGCAGTTCTTTTTGCACATTCCAACACCGATTTTGACCCCCCAAAAATCTGCAAATCACCCTGCCCACCCCCCCACCCCCCCCCATGGCTGCCGCCGAAAAACGTCTCAGCGTTTCTAACGCTTTCAGTCATCATGAAAGTGTGGCAATTCTTCATGTTTTGGGAATGCACATGGTGGCTTCAGAACAAACAAAGCCCAGTGTCAGATTTCTATCAGCTTCAAATTCCTGTCCTTCCAGGTGTGGCAGCTGCCAGGTCGGCCTTTGTAGCAGAGATCGTGCCCGTGAAGACTCCGTTCTTCGCGCAATCTGCCTGCCAAGCAGTTTCGGCCAAGTAAAGCACAGTTTGCGTTCCAAAGAAAACGTGGCGGATCGCAGCTGAATCCCAAACTGGAAGAACGTCAAGTTCTGTGAAGAAACACCCTTGCATGTCTTGCGGGGACCCATGCCATGTCATGTGGCCCTCTTCTGCGTGCAGTCAACTTGTTCAGTAAACATGTCAGATAGGCCATCTTCATGAGAATGGAGGTGGAAGATTTTGACACCACTCCCTGGACTCTGCGTATTTGAGCACAGCAGCTGGGCAAAGAGGTCTGGCGAATCAAATGCTATGAGTATTGGGAGATGTCGTCAAGGTGTGTCAGGTCATTAATGGTCATTCCATGTTATTCCATGTCATTCCATGTCACTGCAACCTATTTCAAGACCCCATCCAATTCACCGAAGTTAACCCAACACTTCCAGGCCACCAGCAACCACAGTTGATAACCCATTTTTTGATGGAGTGAGTGGGGCAAATATTCTTATGATCTCTTATGGTGACCCAAGTGACGCCACTCCCAGGCGGACAATTGGCCAATCATATCAGTTTGGCGCCTATCTACCATCGTGCCTGAAGTGGTGAGACCAACAACACGCATGTGATGTTCAAGTATGATAGTCTGACAATTAAGCATACTGCATCAATAAAGTTAGAATCTGTCACCAGGATCAAAAAATCTCCAGTGCGACCATCTCACCTTTTCTTGTCCTGCTGTCATTGTGATCGCAAGACAACGGTTCGGGTATGCTATTATCTACCCCAAATAGACCCTAAACCAATCCTGAGCCAACCCAAAACAGACCGTAGGCAAACCCCAAACCAACCCTGAATTAAAGTCTGAACCAACATACAATAAGCCTGAAGCCAACCCCAATTACATGTTACATCAATATTTAATAAACCCTAAACCAACTCTGAATTTTCTCTAAATCAACCTCAAGCTGCCATCGTGCTATCAACGAGATAGAAAACAAGTACATAATAATGAGAACAGGTCATTTTTCAACATCGAGCAAATACCATGCAAAATGCAAATTTACGGTAGGCATGATGCAGATAATATTGTGCTAATGCTGGCTCCAATAGGCTCCAATATGCTGCGTTTTTTTGCTAACAATAGCAAGAGATCTTCCAAAATGCTGTAAATACCGTCCAAATTAACGATCAATCATTTTAGCTCGAAAATGCTGCAAATAGCCTACAAATGAGAGATTTTGATTCCACAATGCAGCAAATGACATACTGTAGCTCGAAAATGTAGCAACTACCTACGAAAAGCGCCCCAACTTAAAAACGAAAACAATCACAAAAAAACATTGAAAAATACGCACCCATGATTCTGGACTTTTTTTTCTATCGTTCCTGTGGGTGTTGAAAAGATGAAAACTTGGCAAAGTCTCTTGCAGTTCATCCACGAACCAGATCAAGCAGAAGCGTTCGTGTGGAGGATTTCTCGGATTCAGCGACAACGCGAACCTGTGACCGACATTATTTCGTAGAATGAGTTCATTTTTGCAACACATAGGTCCAATCACCAGCGTGGTGGTTCTAGGATAATCTCCCCGAGTAATGACAATGGCCACTTGTTGGAGATCTGCAGGTGTGATCCTGTGCGCATCCAGTGAGTGATTGTGCTGGGATGTTGACAGTGGAGTGCTGAAGCAGCTCCAGAGAAGCAACTTCCTTTGGCCATTTTGACTTTGGCAGCAACATGGACGTAGGGTTTCGTCACTACAATGCTACTGCCACGGGGCAACAAGAAACCATGAAACTCAGCAAGGTAATGGGCTTCAACAATCTGTTGACACCTGCGTTAGGCCGGACAGAAACCGGCTTTGTCGTTTGCGGCGCCTGGCTGATCTCACAGCAGCCATAGTCTTCAAAATGGAGACTCTGGCCGAATCATACCTCAAACTTCCCAATTCTGAACCTTGGTACATTTGCAAGATCAGAACTTGTGTTTTGTGAGCATAAATCTTTTCTTCGCAACCACTCGCCACGGGCTACGCCTCCTGCTGCTTCTGAGAAAAATCCGACAGCAGCACCCTGCAGCGGCATCCTGCAATGGCACCAACATGCCAACTCCAAAGCGCTCACACCACTTCAACTGCAGCACCTTGAAGCAGCACCCTGCAGCGGCACCAGCAGGCCAGTACCAGAGCAAACACGCCACTCTAACAGCTGCACCCTGCAGCAGCAGCGTGCAGCAGCACCCTCACTAGCACCCTTGCAGCACGAGCCGGGTACATCACGTACCCTCCTTGCAGCACCCTCGAGCATCACTCTTGCAGCAGCACCAGCAGGCCAGCTCGACAGCACCACCAAGCAGCACCTTCCACCGGCATCCGCTCACCAGCATGCACGCTCCAAAGCATGGTTTAAAAAACACACGCCACTCTGACAGCAGCACCTTCAAGCATCGCCTTCAGGCAGCACCTGCAGCAGCACCCTGAGCGCCACCAGCATGCCCGCTCCAAACTCTACACATCACCCTGACAGCAAGCAACACCCTGCACCAGCACCTTGCAGCAGCACTCCAACGGCACCACCATGCCTGCTCCAAAGCGAAAACACCACTCTGACAGCAGCTCGCACAGCGGCAACAGCATGCCAGCTCCAAAGCGCTCCACGTATGGTATAAGTGTTGGTAAATCACCATACATGGAGGATGTGGGGAAACACTAAACCAAGGTCCGCGAATCATTCCCACGAATCATACCCCCTAGACAAACATCCCGGACTGCATGCGGCATTCCGAGACATACGGAACGAAATAGACCCCAAAGGTCCCTGCCACATATATATATATGTATATAAATAAATAGATAAATAAATAAATAATAATAAATATAGATATTATATTTATATCGGGTAAATGAGTACTAACCACTGGATGGAATGGGTTTTCTGATGCTTTCTCTAAATTTTTAGACAAACCCCACATCAATGCCATGATTTGTCTACTTTTCTGTTGGTACATGTTCAGTTCTATGTCAATAGATCAAGACTTGAGCTTCTCCGGCAATTTTCAATGGATTTTTCAAAAAATGTCTCCTACCACAAAGTCGACCACTATTAACCAGGCTGTGCTAACCACTCCCCATTCATATTCACCACTATTTCACCACTATTTCACCACGATTACCCTCTGGAAAACATAGAAAGCATACTGACTGGAATTTCATGATTTCCCGTTCCGAAATGATGTGAGTAAACCAGGAGGCATCACCCCACTGCTGAAGTGGACCTAAGCCTTACGCGGCCTGGTAAACATACATAGATAGCTATTGAACATGGCCCAGTCGAAATAGTTGATTTACCTATAAAAAATGGTGGTTTTCCATTGAAAATTGCCATTTATAGTGGATTTATCCATTAAAAATGGCGATTTTCCATAGTTTTTTTGTATGTTTACCAGAGGGTACTAATTAATGGGATGATCCTCAAGGTACCATCCTATATTTTCCAGAAAGATCTGAATTCATATCTTCGCCACTTGTCATCTGCACAAATAGAAATAATTCGACATTTTGAGCAATTTTCAAAAACCTCCTGTCATTGGGTCATAATCAATGGGAATTTCAGGATCCTAAAATGGAGGTACCTACCATATATATCCATATATATCCATATATAAGGCCTATATAAGGCCTATGCAAGGGGATATCCCCGCAAAATATGGCCAAACATATGATACAATACCTCCATTTCATTGACATAATGGTTGGTTAACAGGGGTTGATGAATCTGATGATGATCATCCCCTTAAGATATTGGATCCCCAAGATAATCATTGGATAGCACAACTCTCTGCCATTATCAACTAACAGTGGCTTAGCCGCTGCTCATTTGATTCAAGCCCATTTTGATTGATTCTGACCATGATTTCCCGACTGAGTTCCAGTGCGAGACTACTAAGCTCCATTTGAATGATGAATCCGGTTCGATTGGTTGGAGCCTGTTATCTTAGTAAATTTCAGTTTTATTCGCAGATATATGTAGTTAAAATTCACCACCACATCTGGTTGGTGGTTGAGCCCACCCCTCTGAAAAATATGATAGTCAGTTGGGATTATTATTCCCTATATATAGAAAAATAAAATTCATGTTCCAAACCACCAACCAGACATTTATTCTCATATTATCAAACATTGTTTGTTGGAAAATCACCCATTTACCCCATCTGAACCTCCATTTAGTTCGGGGATTAGCTGGCCATGTTTGATTGCCATTTCATCACATTAAATCTCATCAAATCCCATTGACTCCCCATTAAAATACCATTGAAATCCCAAAATAAGTCCTTAAATCCCATGAAAATCCCATAAACATCTCCTAAATCCCATGAAAATCCCACGAAAGTCCCATGAAAATCCCATGAAAATCCCATGAAAATCCCATGAAAATCCCATGAACATCCCATAAAACATCCCATTCAATGGCTGCTTCAACACTGCCCAGCCACTCTCCACCAAAGACGGCCAGCCCGGTGCAAATGCTATGCCCCGCGATGGCGCCCAAAATCACCTCAGAAATCATGGCAGAAACTCTACGACTTTCATGGGTTTATCCATGATTCTTCATGATTATCCCAAGTCTTTGGATTCTTTGGATGATTATCTATGATTGATTCTATTGATTCTGTTGGTAACTAGAATTATGGAACATAACTATGGGACAATCATGGGATTATGAACCATATGGATTAATATTGGGATAATCATGGGATAATAATGTGAATATCGGGATTATCTTCTGAGAGCCTCTGGTAAACATACAAAAAACTATGGAAAGATCCACCATTGTTAATGGCTAAATCAACTATTTCTATGGCCAGCTATTCAATAGCAAACTGTTTGCCAGAGGGTATCCATGATTCATGATGATTCCCAAGTCATTATACCTTTTCATGGACAACTACAATGGGATACTATCTTTTTCATGGATAACAATGGGATAATCATGAAGATTACTGGGATATCCCATGGTAGTAATTCTGCTTACCTTGATTCTAGTCAACTTTTTGTGGCGTAAATTGTGCCCACTGTTACAGGCAATAGGCTGTGTCTGTTTGATTCTTTAGATTACAATGGGATTATCCATTATCGCATAATTATTGGCTTAATACCCACTCAAATCCCAATATGTTTGTACCAGTTCCCAGAATTCTTTCATGGCTAAACCCAGGATACAAGATTGTTGTTGGTTAAACCATAGATTTTCCTACAAATTCTCATAAAATATCATACATCACAATATTTTCCCATATATCCATATTATATCCACATCTTCCATAGATTTCCCATGTATTTTCCCACAATTTCTCATAACATTATCATAGATGTTCCCATCAATTCTCATAAATTTCCCATTTCCCATTCATTTTCCCACATTATCTCCATCTTCCATAGATTTACCATAGATTTTCCCATGATTTTTCCCATTGTCCTTGGGGTTTCACCATGGTTTCCCCCAAAAATCCCCATGGCTTTCGCTGTTCACCGCGTTCACCGCGTTCACCGCGTCACGGCCAGCGGGTTCTGATGCGCCGCCAAAGAGATGGTGGCAATCTGCGAGCGGTCGCCCCATTCAGCCAGGAAGGTCAACATCAAAGCCTCCAGGAAGACGGGAGTGCAAAACCTCGGCGAAAATGATATGGGAAGTTTTCTGTGGGAAATTGTGTGGACAAATTGTTGGGAATGACATGGTAATTTATGGAAGTTTCTGAGGAATTGCTGGGAAATGATATGGGAAATGGGATTCCAAAAAACCTCGGCACGTGAAGGGAAGTTTTCTATGACAATGGTTGATGGGAATTGATGGGAAATGTATGTGTTTTTTTTAACATGGACAAATCGATGGTTTATGGCACATTGACATGGGATGACATGGGAACACCTGTGGATAATCTATGGGAAAACTGAGTTGAAATGGTAATTTATGGGAAAATCTATGGGAAATCTTTGGTAAATGTGCTTGTAAATGTTGTAAAACTGTTAAGGTAATACGAATTCCCATTGGAAATCATGGAAATCTATGGTTGACATGATATTTTATGGTACTTTCTGAGTAATTGCGGGGAAATGATATGGGAAATTGGATTCCAAAAAAACCCGGTTTCACATGGGAAGCTTTCTGTGGGAAGTTTATGGGAAATCTATTGGTTGACATGGGAACGTCTGTGGATAATCTGTGAGAAAATTGCGTCGAAATGGTAGTTTATGGGAAAATGTAAGGACAATCTATGTGACATATATATATATATATATATACACATATATGGGTATGTCTGAAAATGGGGTATACCCCCAATTATGGCCATTTAGTAGGGATAATGATCAGCAAAACCATTGGGTGTAGGGGTACACTATTTTCAGACACACCCATATGGTTGGAAATGTGGGACATTTATGGGACCTGTATGGGACCTGCCTGGACAATTTATGGGAAAAACCGTGGTTGACGTGGGACACATCTATGGTTGATGATCTATCAGACAATCGCAATGGAAACTGATGATCATAATATGATGGGGGAAAACACAGGTCAATCATGTTACATGATGGTAAATAATGATGAACACTTGGGAAACTATGTGGTAACGTATGATAAATATTAAAATCATGACGCATGAAGTGATGGTAAACAGTGGCAAATGGTAAATCACACATATTCATAGTTGATTATAGGTGCAAATAGTGGCAAAACATCGATGGGAATTTCAGGATCCTAAAATGGAGGTACTGTGACTGTACCATATAAGGCCATATTTTGTGGGGATATCCCCTTACATAGGCCTAAAAAATAGGCCTTATATATGGTAGGTACCTCCAATCAATCGGTTCCTGAAATGGCCATTGAAAACAATGATAAAAGCAGTATTAATGATTGTAAAACAAGGATAATCATTTATATTGAGGCCATTTATAAAGCAGTAAATGAAATGGCCATTTATAAATGATTGTAAACCAATCTGCAGAATAGCCACTGGGATGTCTCCAGCTGTTTGAAACGAACATTACAAGGTAGTGCCCCCCAAGTTATGTTTATTGGTTTATAAACCCCATTGACTATAGATATAATTATTTATAGTATTGGAGTTACCCTCTGGTAATTTAACATAGCTATTGAAAATGGCCATAGAAATAGTGCGTTTTCCCATTAAAAATGGTGATTTTCCATAGTTATGTTAGTTTACCAGAGGGTATGTTCACCAACTTGGCTATCGAACGGGGACACCGCTGTAGGGTTTCAAGCCGAGACCAAGATATTTCCCAGATATTTGGCCATCTGGCCGCGGAGATCGGTGATCTCAAGGCCCGAAAAAAAAACGCGGGGATTGCAGGGTGAACAATGGAAATTCATGGAAATTCAAGAATAAGATTGTTAATGGTTTCTAGATGTTACTAGGTTTCCCGTTTTCTTTGAGAATGGCTTTGGAAAACCCATACCTACTTGAATTTACCATGTAACGGTATCAACATGTATTTAATCATGATTTACGACGTAAGTGTACGATGATTTTAGCTTTTTCAACCCTACTTACCATATTTTACCATGATTTCACTATCATTCACCATGCTTTTCTCCTGTTATTCTACCATCAAACTGACAGAATGCCACAGCTGAGCGACTGGGAGAACATCCGGCGAACATACGACCTGAGCTGCTGCGAAGGATTGATATGAGTAGTCATGATCTAGATTTATAAGGAGTATATGAAGTTCTTTTTGGATTGATATGAGTAATCTAGGTTTATAAGGTTAAGGAGTATTCCCGAGAGCGTCTGAGCGCAGGGTTCTTCCAATAGTGCGGGTCTGTAAAACATCTTCTCATCTTCACATCTTCTCTCACATCTGCTCATCTTCACATCTTCTCTCACATCTGCTCATCTTCACATCTTCTCTCACATCTTCTCTCACATCTGCTCATCTTCACATCTTCTCTCACATCTCTCTCTCACATCTGCTCATCTTCACATCTTCTCTCATCTTCTCTCACATCTGCTCATCTTCACATCTTCTCTCACATCTTCTCTCACATCTGCTCATCTTCACATCTGCTCATCTTCACATCTTCTCTCACATCTTCTCTCACATCTGCTCATCTTCACATCTGCTCATCTTCACATCTGCTCTCTCACATCTGCTCATCTTCACATCTTCTCTCACATCTTCTCACATCTTTCTCTCACATCTGCTCATCTTCACATCTGCTCATCTTCACATCTTCTCTCACATCTTCTCTCTCTTCTCTCTTCACATCTTCTCGAGGCCTTCTTTATCTTTCTCTCTTAGGCCGAGGGTGGTGCCGGCGGCGAGTCACGAAACGTCAACCCTTTCGCACGAAATGAGGGTCGAAAAACTGAGGAAAAATTGCGATCTTGCCCCCGAGCAACCCTTTCGCACGAAATGAGGGTCGATGAGGAAAAATTGCGATTTTACTTGCCCCCGAGCAACCCTTTCGCACGAAATGAGGGTCGATGCGCAAAAACTGAAAAAAAATGCGATTTTACTTGTCCTGGAGCAACCCTTTCGCACGAAATGAGGGTCGATCGTCAAAAACTGAAGAAAAATTGCGATTTTACTTGCCCCCGAGCAACCCTTTCGCACGAAATGAGGGTCGATCGTCAAAAACTGAAGAAAAATTGCGATTTTACTTGCCCCCGAGCAACCCTTTCGCACGAAATGAGGGTCGATCGTCAAAAACTGAGGTAAAATTGCGATTTTACTTGTGCTGGAGCAACCCTTTCGCACGAAATGAGGGTTGATCGTCAAAAACTGAGGTAAAATTGCGATTTTACTTGTGCCGGACTTGTCTGTGTGTAAAAGCGCCTGTGTGTAAAAAGCGTCTGTGTGTAAAAGCGTCTGTGTGTAAAAGCGTCTGTGTGTAAAAGCGCCTGTGTGTAAAAGCTCTGTGTGCAAAAGCATCTGTGTGTAAAAGCGTCTGTGTGTAAAAGAGTCTGTATGTAAAAGCTGTGTGTAAAGCTGTGTGTAAAAGGGTCTGTGTGTAAAGCGTCTGTGTGTAAAAGTGTTTGTGTGTAAAAGCTTCTGCGTGTAAAAGCTCTGTGTGTAAAAGCGTCTGTGTGTAAAAGCGTCTGTGTGTAAAAGCGTCTGTGTGTAAAAGCGTCTGTGTGTAAAAGCGTCTGTGTGTAAAAGGGTCTGTGTGTAAAAGCGTCTGTGTGTAAAAGCTTCTGTGTGTAAAAGCGTCTGTGTGTAAAAGCCTGTGTGTAAAAAGCGTCTGTGTGTAAAAGAGCCTGTGTGTAAAAAGCGTCTGTGTGTAAAAGCGTCTGTGTGCAAAAGCGTCTGTGTGCAAAAGCGTGTGTGTGTAAAAGCCTCTGTGTGTAAAAGCGTCTGTGTGTAAAAGCGTCTGTGTGTGTAAAAGTCTCTGTGTGTAAAAGTGTTTGGGTGTAAAAGTCTCTGTATGCAAAATCGTCTGTGTGTAAAAGTCTCTGTGTGTAAAAGTGTTTGGGTGTAACAGTCTCTGTGTGCAAAATCGTCTGTGTGTAAAAGCGTCTGTGTGTAAAAGTCTCTGTGTGCAAAAGCGTCTGTCTGTAAAAAGTTCTGTGTATGAAAAACTTTACAAAAATACCATGCAAACTATTGTCTTGTACTAGTCATATATTGTCTTGATACTACTCTTCTCGTCTGCCTATAATACATCTTTATCATATTATCTTGTAATATAGTGTCTCCATACTAACAACAGAAGACTCTGCTCCTCTACGCTCTCGGGCCATCCGTCGTCTAGTATGAAGTTTTTTTTTTTTGGCAGAGTCCTGCTTTATTTGATGGACAGCAAGTGAAGCAAGCGTTTTTTTGCTTGGCGAAAAAAGAACATGACATCGGTTAAACTCCCAGGACCCGACTTGAAATACCATGGGGTGTCCCCCATTTTTTCGCACCACATCTTCCATGATATCCCCATCAAATGGTTGGTTTGACATCCCAAAGGGTTTGACATCCCCATTGAACAAAAAGGTCGACACCATCGCGCCAAGGTCATAGGTCACTACCATCTGGTTATGACGTTTACAGTTCGCCATGGAAAATCAACACCATGCTATTAAGAACGGTAAACCATCTATTTCTATGGGCCATGGCTTAACCATGGCGAACTGTTAGTCATAACCAGAGGGTATCTGCTGTTCAAAAAATGTCAAGTTTTCGATGCAAAAATCACAACTCTTGGATGGTCATCGCTTCATTTCCAGTGGTTTTTTGCTTCCGCCTGCACCATTTCTGGTGGGCGTCAGTGAAGATCATCATCCCACCATTTCGGGTTTACGCCAACATGATCTGAAGCCAACATCCTAGTCATTGGGAACAATCTTTCAAGACATTGATGGAGTCAATCTATATAGAATATAATGGGATAAATATATATATATATATAACAGGATATATAACCAATCATGATATATCCCATGATATCCCCGCCAGGTTCTTGAAAATGACCCCTTTGAGGTGGTATAAACATCCAATTTGCGACCTCGATTCATGGTTGCAAAAGGTCACAGCTAGAGGAACCATGTATGAAATCTCCCAATTTTAGACTGGTTGGTGGTTGAGCCTACCCCTCTGAAAAATGATGGACTTCGTCAGTTGGGATGATGAAATTCCCAACTGAATGGGAAAATAAAGAATGTTCCCAACCACCAACCAGTAATCCAACCATCCACGCGATGTGACTCGATGCAAAGGCATCTTCTCCAAGTGACTTCTGTCCTTTTGAGGCCGAGTCCTTCAAGGTATTCTCCACCTAAACTTCAGGACTCAACGGGCAAACATATGGAATTTCATGGGATTTCGCATGGGATTATATGGGATTATATGGGATTATATGGGATTATATGGGATTATATGGATTTTTCACCAGTTTTTAAGATTGAAAGTAGGATTTCGCCACAGATTTAATAAGATTTAACCAGTGAAAATGCGGATTGAACCAGTATCCCGAGATCTATGTGACCTTACGTATGATGATTTAATCACTATGTCTTTGGGGACAATTAATCAGCGGGAAAAATCACCCATCCAGCAATGAAATCCCCAAAGACATAGTTTTATGATTGGGGATTTCATTGCTGGATGGGTGATTGTTCCCGCTGATATTGGTCGAGGATCATCTCAGGACTCGTTGGACGATTGAGATTCACTCCCATTTTCCAGGTTTTTGAGGGTCGAAGCAACATCACGATGCTTGGCGAAACCAAATGGGTTGAACCATGAGGATCTGAGATGCTTGGCAAAAACCAACAAACTGCCGCAATTCAACTAGCATGGCCCATTCTGTGGCTTTGGGGGTCGCACAATTTCACCAGAATTTTCAATGGATTTGCCCCAAAAGCCCCAGTCATAAGTTGGTTTATGACATCGTCCAACAGCCTAGTTATAACCTAAGTTAGCTAACGTTCGGAGTCCCTTTCCTGCACTTGAAAACCACAGCATGTCCATTTCTGGCTAACCATGGTGTTCCAACACCTTCGGCTATTCCATGCTATTCCTAAACCGGAGTTTGGCATGAGGAAAACCTCACGGTTTAGCTTGTCCCAATGGCCATCGCACCTCTTCGAATTCTTCGTCCTTGTCCTCTTCTCCCCTTGCTCCCACGTACATCAACCGCAAGCCGAAGAAGGTGTAGAGGACAGTGGCGCACTGAGTCACTCGTTCCTGCGAAAGACGGTAGCCATGTAAAAAGCAATTTCCATCAATAACAGCCATTTTTTACATATCACTAAACAAAGAATAAGTCCAAACATCATCATATTTTTCTTCGGCAACAAAACACTTATCATTTGTTCTGCATTTCAATGGGTCTAGTCTAAGGCCCGTATGTGGGAGCAACCCCTACCCTAACAAAACACCGGTCCGGGTCAGCTGTTTTTTGGTTCCTGGGAGATCAGATTTGGAAGAACAACCCCCAAGAAGGCGCTCAAGACGGTCATGAAGTACAGGGCGCCCAGTGCGCCCGACAGCCTGAACGCGAGTGAGACGCATAGATCTTGGTCTGTTCAAACATCAAAATCTGGTAAGCTTATCTGGTTGGTGGTTGACCTACCCCTCTGAAAAATATGCGTTCGTCAGTTGGGATGATGACATTCCCAACTGAATGGAAAGTCTAATCAAATTCCATGGTTCCAAACCACCAACCAGATATATATATATATAGATATACCCCATGTACTGTTGCCCATTTTATGTGCCCCTCCCAAACCACCAATCAGTTATAGTAACCAACCACCATTTCTAGGTGTTTGGATCCAAAGATGGACGGTTGATGTTCACTCCCATGAAGTGTGACTCGACCGGCCCCAAGACTCTTAACCTCAATCAAAGATGGCGTGCTAGAAAATCCACCATGTGTAGATGATTTTCCCATGAAAATCTCAATTACCCTCTGGTAAACATACAAAAAACTATGGAAAATCACAATCTTTAATAGGTAAATCAACTATAAATGTGCCATGTTCAATAGCAAACTGTTAGTTTACCAGAGGGTAGATGTTTTTTCCATGAAAATTGCCATGTTTGATTCCCAGAAAGGTAACCCCAGATAACTTTAGCTTTGGCTCGGTCAAAATATCTGCGAAAAAACATGGGGCCCACCTCTCTAGTCGAACCGCAGTTTGGGGTATCAAATCTCACATATCTCACATTTCTTTTGATCTGAGGGGCTTAATATTACCATATTCATCCATATTCCAGACACCCCACGAAGGGATCAAGTGAGGAGGTGCTATGAATGGGGGATGGGAGCGATTTGCTCATGACTTACCCTCTGGTAAACTAACATAACTATGGACAATCACCATTTTTGATAGGTAAATCAACTATTTCTATGGGCCATTTTCAATAGCAAACTGTGAGTTTACCAGGCCGGGTACTTTTTCATCCAAGACTCTGAACCTCAGTTACCCCCTGATCATCAGCCCCATGGCTTGCTGCAAAACTCACCATTTCTGGTGGATATTTGGGGAAACACATGCCAAAATTAGCAATATCCATTAGCTACGTAATCGCTATAATATAAATTACATATATTACATAATATAATATATATATATATGTATCATTATTTAATAGCTGATTAGCGAAAATCTCTGTGGGGGGATTTTCTTGGGATGACTTTCACCCAACCATTTCAGTCATCGCCGAGTTACACCACAAACTTTGGATGTCTCATCGACATCACCGCTGCAATGATGAAGGTTTCCTTGGTGGAAAGATCTCCGGTTTTTTAAGAACTGGTTCACACCTTAAATCGTAGGCCTTATATAGGCCTTTAAAAAAGGCCTTATATATGGTAGGTACCTCCAATCATTTTAGGATCCTGAAGATCTCCCATTGATTAAATCGTGGCTTTCACTAAAATGGATGATTTGGGATAATAATGGGATAATAATGGGATAATATGGGATAATAATGGGATAATAATGGGATAATAATGGGATAATAATCGGATTATGAACCATATATTAATAATTAATATTGGGATAATAATGGGATTAATAATGTGAATATTGGGATTACCCACTGGCAATGACTGTTACATAGCTATTGAATAGCTGGCCATTGAAATAGTGAGTTTTCCCATTAATAGCATGGTTATTTTCCATAGTTTGTTGTATGTTTACCAGAGGGTAAATCGTGGGTTTCACTTTAGTAAAGCCTTTTCAGTTGGTTTACCCTCTGGTAAACGTTTACAGAAAGCTATGGAACATCACCATCTTTCAGAACGGTAAATCAACTATAACTAAATGTGCCAGCTATTCAATAGCTATTTTTTACAGTCATTACCAGAGAGTAAGATACTTTACCTTCAACAGTGTTATTTCTTGGTGATCCAAATCCATCCAACTCCAACCCCCCAAAAAATGGCCCAGAAATCCAGCTGTGGCTAGACCTTAGTCACTTAGTCCAGATACATCTCCAAGTTCCGTGGCCAAAATCATGAAGAAGGACGAGGTCAATCCTGCAGGGACTCCATTTTTTCAAGCCTGGTAGAATGAAACGAAGTTCCCCTGGTAAAACAAGAACTGGCACTGGCGCGTTTTACGTTGGTTGAATGCCATATGAATGAGATGATTTGAACCATATGGATCCATATGGATTGGGTCATGGACTCCTATTCCCTACGTTCTGCTAAAAAGTAAGTCTCGTAGCTGTTCAGTTTGAATCTACCCTTCAACTGGCCATTTCCCCCACTCTTTTCGCGATCTAACATGAAAATTCCGCTGAATCATCGATCAATCCCCCATGACATTCCCATTTTTCATCACTTTTCATCATTGTTCCATCATTTTTCCATTTTTCATCATTGTTCCATCATTTTTCCATCATTTTTCCATCATTTTTCCATTGTTGTTCATCCTTTTTCCATCATTAAAGTCCGCTGTTTTTGGTCGGCCCAGTGCATGGTCCTTCCCAGGGATTCTTGGTCAAGTGCCAATCAAAGGACCAAGCGCTCGCAGCTGCCACATCATTGGCGAGGCTGCTCTGGGACATGCCTGGGATGGAGATCGATACCGTTAACCAAAACAGGAGCAACTTCACTGGCCGATGTTTCAGGGCTATTTTTTAGGGAAGATCCCATTGGTGTGCTTGTAAATGGTGTAAAACTGTTAAGGTAATACGAAATCCCATTGGAAATCATGGAAATCTATGGTTGACATGGTAATTTATGGTACTTTCTGAGGAATTGATGGGAAGTTTTATGGGAAAAGTCAATGGCCATTTCAGGATCCGATTGATTGGAGGTACCTACCATATATAAGGCCTATATAAGGGCTATTTGTTAGGGAAGATCCCCACCAAATATGGCCAAAGATATGGTACGTACTACAGTACCTCCATTTTTGGATCCTGAAGATCTCCCATTGACAATTATAGTAACCTCCAAAAAGATAGAAAAGTGACACCAGACTAACATCACGTGGTAAATTACCTTTATGAATATTGTGACATTCATTTAGCCAATGAGCCTTAGGCCCCCAAAACTATGTTGTCCCTCATGTGAAAAAACTATGTTCACATTGTGTCTTTTAGTGACTTGTTTGGGAGGCACCTGCTTTCTACCATATCATTAGATAGAATCTATCAGTTTCTTGGGTTACCATAGGTATGTGAATGTTTTATGTTCATTTGAATATATCTGGGCACATTATAATATTTCACTAACCTGAATTAAGGCTACACACTTCCGTTCGGTCATGCCAGCCCGGCCATTTGCGGATCATTTCCCTTATTAACCATGATTCCAGGGTTCGGGAGAACAGGGTTCGGTCGTGATTTTCCATTTACCCAGAATCATATATGAATTATATGAATCCAAAATGCTCTGAATCAGCAGCATGTTGGATCTTCATAGCTTCCGAACATGACGCCCATATTTTGGGATCACCTGAGGTGTCCCTATATACAGTGGGATGTGGAGGTGTCCTATATAACAAGTGGGGCATCCCCATGCGAGACGCCAGGATGGTTTTCATGGAAAATCCGACAGCTATAAATGGATGAGAACTGGGGGTATCCCCACGGATTGGAAACCTCCATGTAGAAATTTTAAACTGCAAACGAATAGAATGGTTGATTGTTGATTGGATAAGTTTTGATCCATAGGTGAATTCTGCGGTTAAAAACAAAACATGTGTGGCATTTCAGCATGTTCGCAACATGGGGATGGAGATACATGAAAATACGGGGATCAAGACCATGTTTTTTTTGAGCCGATGAAGGCCCATAAATCCCAGCTGTTTTGATGTGAACTACAGGGGTAGCACCAGTTTTGACCCATAACAAAAAATCTGGTTGGTGGTTTTTCGCCTACCCCTCTGAAAAATGATGGAGTTAGTTCGTCAGTTGGGATGATGAAATTCCCAACTTTTTATGGAAAGTCTAATCAAATTCCATGGTTCCAAACCACCAACCAGATGAGATATGTTTCCTAACCATAGATCACCTAGCCAAGGAACCCACCATGACGAGGATCAATTTGGGTGTGACAAAAACTCAGTACCCTGGGGAAGCCTAAAATCCTTGGTAAATGGATGTCCAGCCCGTTAAATTCTGTATTTAATCCTAGGTTTTGACCCATCACCATTTTGAGGCTTAAGCATCAAACATATTCATTGAGAATAGGCAAAAATTGATAGAATGGAGGGTAATTATTCACCTCACCAAAACGGCATTGTTTTACAACCACTTAACTAGGCAACTCCATTCCTTTGTCCATCCAAGAGACTCTCCACGCTGAAACCACTGCTGTTGCTCATGGACAAAAAGTCCCCCGGTGCCATCTTTTTACAAACACTTGCGCGGTGACACAATCTGTCGACCACAAATCAGATCTAAATGAGCTGCGAGCGGCAGTTCAAGCAGTTCAATGCCAATGTTTTCTTAGTATCGTGCTAAAGTCATCAAATTGGGGCCCCATTTTTGAGGTTCCATGTTAGAACTGGGGGTTATATAATGAGTATACAGTATATATATATATATATAGTATATATATATAGGGGTTTCCGAAAATGGGGGTACTCCTAAATCATCCATTTGATGTCTCGGATTGTCCGAGTGGTTTTACCATCCTAAGCGAGCTTGGGGATCCATTTGTGGAACTCCCCATATGTTACATATCTAGTTGGTGGTTGATCCTACCCCTCTGAAAAATATGAGCTCGTCAGTTGGGATGATAAAATTCCCAATATATATGGAAAGTCATAAAATTCATGTTCCAAACCACCAACCAGATATAAATTGGTGTATATTGGCGCCTATGTTTTTATTGAGTGCTAATCTCTTCACAAGATCTGGTCAGACAGGCTATTTCTGCCAGTTAATATCACCAACGATCAACATTTCTCCTTCTGAAATCGCTATTTCTGCTAGATAAACAGAGCTCATCCACCATTTCTGCTGGTTAAATCATGTGAAGATAGCATTTCTTCTGGTGAAGTCCACTGTTTCTCTTCGCGGTTCCAGGTGTCCCAGGTGTCCGGACGTCTGGTGCCACAAATCCCGTGCTTGCCGAAGCGAAGTTAATGCTGTGCCGTTGTAGCCTAGAGCGGTGGACCCCTGTGGAAGTCACTGAAACCATCTAAAAATGGCCGAAAAATGATTCGTATGCTACCCTTCACCAGAGGCTTTACCTTGATGCTTCCAAATCCCCCAATCGGTTTATCCAACATTTTGATGGTAGCACTCAGTATACCTTTGCTTTACCTTCTCCAAATTCTTGGAGGTTTGTATCTACCCTCTGGTAAACATAATTACAAAAAACTCTGGAACATCATGGAACATCAGCATTTTTGATGGCTAAATCAACTACCAAAATAAGATTTTTAAATAGGAAACTGTCAATTACCAGTGGATAATCCCAATATTCACATTGTTACCCCATTATTATCCCAATATTAATATGGTTCATAATCCCATGATTGTCCCATTATTATCCCAAACCAATTGCGAAAACCCAGCGCCGGAGCACAATGAAGCTCCACAACGTCCACTGAGCATCCCCACTCTCCACTACCCTCCAGCCACGGTTGTAACCTCTGGGAACCACGAACCGGTCTCCAGTCGAATCCTCATGTCATTCTCCCTTTGTTGGTTGGATATATCCAATTGAAAATTGATGATATATCCCATGGAAATTTCAATTGAATCCACATTATGTATGATTTTTTGTCATTATAACTATTATGTCATTATTAGCTAAATATGTTTTTTTGTCATTATAACTACTATAACTATTAATCCCCATTATATGTCGTTATAATTATTGGCTATGTTGGTGAATCCCATTGAAATCTCCCTTTTGTTTCGATCCGTTTCCATTTCGCCCATCGAAATCTCGGCGAACCGAAGGTGAGTTCGTGCGCGAAGACCGTCACCAAAAGGACGAGCTGCTCCTGGAAATTGGGGCTCCCTGACTATCACAAACAAGCGGTTTTTGTTGGGGATGTAATGGGAATAATGACTATAATATTATGGAAATGGGAATATTATTGTGGAATATTGTGGATATAACAGGGGTGTGGTGCAAGATAGGCCTTGGACTTGGTTACCAGCTCTAGACAAGGATTGAAGTACTGATAAGTGGAGTGAAATACGAGTTTTTTCATGGCTATGGTTCAAAATGGGTGGTACCAAATGAACGCAAATTTTCATGTCATGTTTGTACGTTACATGTTCTTCTCACACATCATTTCTGGCGTACTATTCTTTTGAGCAATTCCCTAGGTCCATGATGCTCATGCTGACTCAAAACTCATACCTCACGTCATACCTGCTGCGAATCCCTTATATACTTTGGAGAAAGTGGAGAAAGCAGCTTGCTATGAGTGGAGTGCGCGAGTCGCTTCACTTACCCATGAGCTCCCTCCATCTCACCCACCAAGTTACCCTCTGGTTATTTGTTACATAACTATGGAACATCACCATTGAAATAGTGGATTTTCCCATGAAAAATGGTGGATCTTTCCATAGTTTTTTGTATGTTTACCAGAGGGTATCTCACTGTGAGATCAACAGCAGTTCTTTTTGGTGCTGCACAGCGATCGTCAACTTGACTTGCTGTCCACAATTTTCACAGTATCAAAGTCCGCAGAAACAAAATACGTATTGTCATCATACATGGAGGTTTCCTAAAATAGGGGTACCTCCAAATCATCCAATTTTAGTAGGATATTCTATTGTAAACCAACCAGCTATTGGGGATCCCCCATCTATGGAAGATTCCAAATCATACCAGAAGTCGCAACAGGCGCTCAATGACCGGCTGTCCGCTTGCCAAATTCACTGCTGTGGAATCAATGTCACCTCCAGCCGCGAGCAACTTCCAAGTGGCCATTCCTCAAATTTGCGGAGTTCGAAAAGAAAGCACACATATTCCCTACAGGATAGGGCCCCCAAGATAGCTAAGTTGAGATATAAGTGGTTTGACTCTGGTTTATGGTAGATAAAACTATAGTTAATGGGGTTTATAAACCAACTTATAACTGGGGGGGCACCATCCTGTATAGATTCCGGATTTCCCATTGAGAAAACAAAACATCACCTTAAACCCAGGCTTCTGAAATACGAGTACCTGTCGCAACAGGCGCTTAATGTGCGGCTCCGGCTGTCCATTTGCCAAATTCACTGCTGTGGGGTCAATGTCAACGCCGGCCACGAGCAACATGCGCACAATTTCCAAGTGACCATTCGCCACAGCAAAGTGCAAAGCGGTTTCACAATCTGCTTGATCATCCGTCCTGGCGTTCGTGTCAGCGCCAGCAGTGAGCAACAAGCGGACTAATTCGACATGTCCATCCCGTGCGGTGCGGTGCAAAGATGTGAGCCCATATAAATTCTTGATGTCTATATCCACACCAGTCAAGAGCAACAAGCGCACTACTTCTAAATGGCCCCGGTCGCAAGCAAAATGCAAAGGTGTGGAACCATCTGCTGTTGCACTGTTCTTCTCGGAACCAGCATCTAACAGCCACTAGGTCGGAGTGGCCGTAGTAGCATGCACGGTGCAGAGGTGTATTACCATGTGTGCTTGCACTGTTCTTCTCGGCACCAGCATCTAGGAGCAACCGCACTATTTCCAAGTTGCCCTGGGCTGCTGCATGATGCAATACTGTTATTTCCTGTTCCATTTTACTGTTTCTCTCAGCACCTGCAGCCAACAGCAATTCCACAACTTCTGGATGGCCATGGAAGGCTGCGCAATGCAAAGCTGTTGAGCCATCCTCTGTTGCTCTAATCTCAAGATCAGCAAGAGACTCAAGCAACAGTTCCATGCAGCTTGCGTTGCCCGCCTGTGCCGCAAAGTGTAATGCTGGCCAGCCATCGCGATCTCTCGTGTCAGGGTTCTGCGGTCGATGAAGCATCTCCTCAACTGTGTGAACCTCATTGTGCTCGCACGCAGAAATTAATTTGGCATCTTCAAGTACCTCTGATGGCCAAAAATCCAGAATCACAAGTTGCAAATCCACTGGGGGACATATCTCCTGATCATCACCAAGCTCAACAGGGCTTCCGTTCAGAATTCGTTGTCTGAATCTAGAGCAACCAACTTGATGTGACAAATACCTTTTCAGTCCAACAACGGACCTACAGTGTGGCATCTCATCCAACTTCTCCGCATCAAGAACGGCTATTTCTGCCCCCGATGCGGCTAAAGACACCCGTAACATAGTTGTTGGTTTGGGCACGAACTTGAGCCAGGAGATGGCAATCTGGTGACTTAACCAGCCAGTCAGAATCGGGTTGATATCTAAGATTAGCCATGATTAGCCGTGACCATCTTGATAGACTATGTCATGAACAATAGCCAGCAGCAATCTTGATATCAATCTTAGAATAGGGTTGTTAGATTTTGTTAGGGGATTTATATCCCCCAACTTCAGACCTTATTTGAAGTGGACCTTGCTTGCTGATCCGTTCCCCAATCTCTCAACGTTGATTGGTCGAATCACCATTGCCCGTGCCTTTTACGAATCAAATTTAAATTTGGGCAATGCCCTGTTTGTAGATCATTTAGCTATTGAAAATGGTTGCTTTCCACTAGCAGCATATTATCTATTATGCCTATGATCTGCTAGTTAGCCATTCTCCACTTTTGCTCTCCATGTTATTGGTGATTTGTCTGGCCAAAGCCATGACGGTGAGGGATGACCATTCGAAGGGTTTGATATTCTCTTGACACTTCTAGGGGGATATTATATATCTGGTTGGTGGTGCAATAACCATCTTGAAAAATGATGGACTTCGTCAATGGGGTTGGGATGACATCCCATATATGAAATGGAAGTCATAAAATTCCATGGTTCCAAAGCACCAACCAGATATGTAATGTATACACATTGCCATCATACAAAAACCAAGGGGACCAGTGGGACCAATTCTGGTATCTCAGATTCGCCATTTTTTTCCCCCATCCGAAGGTCGGGTTAGGGTTGAACGCGGCTTGGATCTGTTTCCTGTGGGCCAAAGCCTTCATAGGTTACCATCTGGTTATGACTAACAGTTCGCCATGGAAAATCCCCAAAATAAATGGAGGTTTCTATCTGGGAAAATCATCTATTTTTATGGGCTATGGCTTCCATGGCTATGTTAAATAACCAGAAGTTAACTTGGAATTGCTGAAACATTGGTTCAAAACACAGCACAGATTCCCCAAATGGTGGATTCACAAGTAGGAAATCCACAATCGTTAAGTCGGAATCAGTCATCTTTTCCTTACAGCTGCTTAGTGGCTCATCCATAGTAAATGGGATCCATGGTGCTGCTATATATGGTAACATGGATCCCATGAATATACCGTTAGCATTTTTCTACCAGCACCATGGATCCGTCATGGGATAGTAAATAGGTTATAACCGTTTTCCATTAAAAATCCCATGGTTATAACCTATTTAAAACCTATAGTTCACCTATAATAGTAAATAGTGCATAGGCCAAGTAGAATTTCTTCATTAAAAAAATCACAGTTTTCCTGGTTCAGTCCATGAAATCACCATGGAAATCCCCATGGGAATCCCAGACCCGGTCCCTGCCATCTCGATCGCCGGGCCATCGCTTGTTCCAGCGATCAATGGTGGCTTTCAATTCCACGGGACACTCCTGGAAAACCATAGGAAAACCATGGGAAAACCATCGGAAAATGCTGATTGAACCAAGAAACATGGGGGATTTCCACTGGATTTATAGAGCTGATTTAATGTGATAGCTAAGTTGACGCACAGAACTGCCTTGGTGAACTCGGATGTGTGGGGAATACAAGTATAGTGGTCGGAGAAGGAAATCATGAGGATCTAATGGGGATATCATGGGATTTGAATGGGATTTAATCGGATTTCCATGGAGATTTTAATGGGAATTACCATCTGGTTATGACTAACAGTTCGCCATGGAAAATCACCATGCTATTAATAGGTAAACCCAGGTAAACCATCTATCAATGGGCCATTTTCCATGGCTATGTTAAATAACCAGAGGGTAACTTATAACTGGGGGGCGCTGGTACAGGAATTGCTTCAAAAGCCAATATTGGTTTACTTAGGATATCATGGACTTCATGACCATATTGGGATCATTCCCCGAATCCTAACCATGATTCCAGGGTTCGGGAGAACAGGGTTCGGTCGGAACAGTGAGGTCGTGATTAAATTTACCCTATATACATACATATATATATATATACACATCATATTTACCCATATATATATAATATACATCATATATCATAATATGATCTCTTCATTATCAGTTGGTGATGAATAGCAGCACTGCTATTGGCTTCTTCAACAAAGAGAGACCAAAGGCTACGCAGAAATCTGGGGGCCAAGCACTGTGATGCTGGAAAACAGTTGATGCTTCATGTTCACCACGACATCTTTCAGATAGTTCCATGTCCAAAGCCACACCTGCAATTTATACTGGTTGGTGGTGCAATAACCATTTTGAAAAATGATGGAGTTCGTCAATGGGGTTGGGATGACATCCCATATATGAAATGGAAGTCTAATCAAATTCCATGGTTCCAAACCACCAACCAGTATAAAGCGTCAGTTTTATTGGTGGAGCAAGTGCGAATCGATTTCCACATGCCACGTGCCGCGCATGGAATTCCACGAACTGCACCGAACTGCAGTTGGCAATGATCCTCCCATCGAGAAACAGGATGAGTTTGGGCTCTTTTTGTTATCTAGCAGCCTGATCCCCATAACAACCGTTTGATTGTAATGGGCTTATTAAGATCGATCTATGGGTATATTATAGTAGGGAGAATTCATGACTGCAATGCTTCGTCTATAGATGAACCGTTTGTACAAGGTGGTGCCCCCTCAATTATAAGTTGGTTTATAAACCATATTAAGCATAGATATATCACCATATATCACCTATAAACCATAGTGAAATTGGAGTTGTGTTCACCAACTGAACGCGATTTCGTTCGGGGGCACCACCAACTGTAGCTGGGAATGCTTTCGACAAAGCAGATATACTTTCTGGGGTTATGATCATCCCTTACCGATCCAAGAAATCTATGACTGGTTGGTGGTTTTTCGCCTACCCCGCTGAAAAATCATGGGCGAATCGTCAGTTGGGATGATGACATTCCATTCCCAACTGTTTCTGGAAAGTCATAAAATGTATAAAACTGTTCCAAACCACCAACCAGAAACAGCCATGGCAGAATTATTGACACCTCGAACCAACTAAAAAAATATATTTAAAAAAACTATCTCTAAAGCAAAAATGGTCATCGCAAAGATACGGTGATCTTGGGCTATCGGGAAAATAGGAACCGATCATCTGGAAGTTTTGGATTCAACGATCAGAAAGATGGAGACTTCAACCGATGAAGAATGGAAATTCTGTGTGTCCAGAAATGGGTATACCGGTATACCCCAAAATTGCCAGTTTCATGAGGAAACTATAGGGATATTTCATAACTTTTGAAGGACCCGAAATAGCAAGTGAATATCACTTACCATCTGGTTATGACTAACAGTTCGCCATGGAAAGATCCACCATTTTTAATAGGTAAACCATCTATAAATGGGCGATTTTCCATGGCTATGTTAAATAACCAGAGGGTAATTGTGGCTGTATATAGTTCTATACCTCCATCGTTTTTCATGGTGGCGTCTGCGCCTTGTACCAATGGTGGCCTTGCGCTAAGGGCACCAAAGCCAGAGCACCCAAGATGACGTACCTCAGCCGTGGGAAGATAGGATAGATTAGACATGATCCAAGAAACACTTAAATGCATGTCCACTACAACCTAATGGTTAATGATGGTTAATGGTGATTAATAATGGTTAATTATGGTTATTATATGGTTAATAATGATTAATAAAATCTGGTTGGTGGTTTTTCGCCTAGCCCTCTGAAAAATGATGGACGAATCGTCAGTTGGGATGATGATTATTCCCAACTGAATGGAAAAAATAATCATGGCTGATTGTGGACCCTGCCAAAAAGAACCTGAATGATCCATCTTATTGTGTATCCCACAATGAACATTTTGCAGCAATTGATAGGGTATTCCTATGTGAACGAGCAGCTAGTGTTGTATGGCCCTCTAGCTGTGACAACTGTTGGAAACGCGACTCCGGTAGCCCAAAAACGCTGCATACTCACTGTCTTCTATGCAGATTCATCGGGGATCTATACAGATGTCATGCAACCATGAATGATACAATTGTATTTATATACACATAATTTATACATCTTGTATCTATACAGAATAACATTATACACCTAGCAATTAAAACGATAATGATATATATATATATATACTGTATAATACGAGTATATATATATATATAGCTAATACACCATTGAAACCTAGTAAATAAATATATTTGAACATGGATCCAGCACATTTTCCTTCGTGCAATTCATGGGTGTCCCGACTCGGGCAGATAATCCACATCTGGCCATCGCGGGCAGATGGGCGGCAGGTCCTTCAATTCCACCGGTGGACACTCCACCTGTTTCAACCAACGCCAACGGGCAAAATGGCGAAACTTCAAAAAGGCCCCAAAAATGGAGAAACACATACAGTAGTTTTTTGGGGGGGATTTTCTTGGGTGATCTATGGTGATCTATGGTGATCTATGTTTTTTGTGAATTTATAATTTTTGGTGGTTTTGAGGTCGAAGATGGACTTTGCAACTTGGAGGTGATTTTAAGCAGCCCTTAAAACAACGACACTTTTCTGGGGATCCAATGTGACGTTCCGGCGCAAGGCTTCGCCATGTTGGAGCTGCGGATGGGATTGTAATGGGATTGATGAACGGTACAATGGCTATGGATAAGATTCTAATAGGATTATAGGTAGTGGAATTCATGATGCGATTATGGGTTATACCCTCTGGTTATGTCAAAATAGCTATTGAAAATGACCACATTGAAATAGTGGATTTTCCCATTAAACATGGTGGATCTTTCCATCGTTTTTTGTATGTTTACCAGGCCGGGTAGATGGGTTATAGTAATCGTGTCCTTCCAGGAAAATTTAGAGGGGGCATACCATGTACTGTATCACTTGACGGTCGCTTGTTGTTGGAAAGGGCCTCGACTTTTTCATGGAAAAGGACACCAAAATCATCCAAAATCTCCAAAATGGAAATCTACATCAATGATCATCAATGATCATCAATGTACAATGAAAAGAGAAACTTGCAACCATTGTGTTTCTACATTTCAGATTGCGTAGCTCAATTTTTTTCGTGATTTCACAACCCCTAAGAAATCAACCACCACCATTTATACCCGGCCTGGTTGATTTTCCCTATGGAAAATGGAGAAAATGGTGATTTTCCCTAGGGACAATGACATGTATGGGATTGGCTAAAAGTACCCGGCCTGGTAAACATACATAGATAGCTATTGAATAGCTGGCCCAGTGGAAATAGTTGATTTACCCATTAATAGCATGGTTATTTTTCATCGTTTTTTGTATGTTTACCAGAGGGTAGCTACTATCGGCTCTATAAAAGTTTACTAAAACTTCCATAAATGATGGTTAAGTCCACCATTTCCAGATTCCAGACTTCCAGAATCTAGAAATCCGAGAAATCTAGGGATTTCGATCTATTCCAGATTATGATGGGAAATCTTTGTAGATGGGAATTTCCAGAGGATAATCTTATTATATGTTATTCCCATCGTGTTTTCGCAGCCGCAGCCACCCATGCCACATTTGGAGGATCGTTCCGCGAATCCTAAGTGGTAGCCTGGTAGCCCTGGTGGTCGTAAGTCCCCAAAGCAGGTTATCACATCTATAAATGGGTGAGCTAACTATGGTTACTAACTACTTAATTACCAAGAAAACCACTATGTTGGTTGGTGAAATTCCATGATAGTCCAGTACATCACCGTTTTGGGTAGTTCTAACTTATGATCTAAGCTAATTATCGCTTACTATGATAGTTATCCATCATAACTATGGTAATGAGCTTAGCCCACCAAAACTAAAATTATCACCTAAAAAGATTGAAAAGCACATCCATTCATGCAGCTGTATTGCCTATTATTACAATAACCATCAAACTTTGGTAATGATCTATAACTACTTCTGGTACTGATCTGTTATATCGTGATTATTTTTAATCTATTAATAACTAAAGATAAAGTAACTATTGACTGCTAACTATTCACCAATCATTTATGGGGAATCATGACCATCTATTATATCAATAAACTATGGTCATCACTAACTCAATATATCAGCTATATCAATAAACCCTACGTTGGTAATCAATAAACACCATTAACTATGGTGATAATGTTGGTAAAACAATAATAAACGTACCCAATTTCACCATGAATAGATAAATAGGTGGTATAAACCATTCCCAAATGGGTGGTTCATGATTGTTTTATCCACATTAAACACCATATCAATAAACATATCAATAAACATATCAATAAACATATCAATAAACATCAACATAACTATATCCATTATATCGGTAAACACCAATCAATAACACTTACGGAGTTATTACATGTTATTACTATCTATTGTATATATCAGTCAATCATTACCTATATAGATCATATACCAGTTACTTATATTACACTACACATACATTACCTGTTATCCAATACGGATTGTATTAGTATCAACTATATACGCATTGTCTATAAATGACACTTATGGAGTTATTGCCATCTATTATATATATATCAGTCAATCATGACATCCATTAACATAACTATATGCATCATATCTGTTATATACAACGCATTACCCATAATTATAAATTATATCAGTCAATCATTACCATATATATATATTGGTATAATCTTTACTATTGATGGTGATTGAAATAGATTTATATAATACAATCATTGCGAGTCAATCCATTAACACAACTACCCTCTGGTTATTTAACATAGCTATGGAAAATGACCCATAGACATATGATGTACCTATTGAAAGTGATGATTTTCCATGGCTATGTTAGTCATAACCAAAGGGTATACCAACCAAAGGGTATACCCTCTGGTAAACATACAAAAAACTATGGAAAAATCCACCCATTTTCAATGGGTAAATCCACTATAAATCACCATTTTCAATAGCTATGTAACAAATTCCCAAAGGGTATGCTTTGTTGATCAGATGAGCGCTCCGATCCTGAACACGGCCCCACCTGTTGGCCATCGCGAAAGACCACAAAGGTGGTCTTGTCACCGATGCCCTTGTTGCGCAGGAGATACCTGGCGGCGTGGCGAAATCTGGCTACGTCACTCAGAACGCTGGCTGGTTAATCTGGCTACGTCCTCTGGTAATTTAACATAGCTATGGAAAATCACCATTTTTAATGAGAAAATCAACTATAAATCACCATTTTCAATAGCTATGTTAGTTTACCGGAGGGTAAACAAACTGTGGATGGGCCGGTGCGAAATCCGTTCATCACCAGTTGAAAACGGTGATTTTTACATCCCATGATTTTGGATGGGTTTCAACATGTTTCAACCATCCGTTTGGTGATGCAGGATTTCGCAATCATCCACCGTATGGGTTGTGAAATGTATTCTTTTTTTCCATAAATGAGGGTATCCCGAAATCATCCATTTTGTTGTGGATTTTCCATAAACCATCGAGCTATTCGGGCACCCCCATGACTTAGGAAACCTCCGATTACGGATGAATGGGATTAGCTAATTGTTACCAGATTAATGATTAGATGGGATCAATGATTCACTAACCATGGCTAGTAACCATAGTTTGATCCTTGTTTCGTATATTTTCTGGTTGGTGGTATACCTACCCCCTCTGAAAAATATGAAAGTCAGTTGGGATTACTATTTCCATCTGAATGGAAAAATAATCTAAATGTTCCAAACCACCAACCATATATATAATATATAACCATTATTAACCTTAATTATACCCTTATTCACCATTCTTAGCCATGAGTATCACCATCATGTGATCCGTGTTTCCTATATTTTACTTATCAGCAATTATATTACTTGCAAATCTATGATTATGAAAATCATATCAAATCTATATGACCATAGTTTGCCAAATAATGGGAGTGGCTAATAATGTCAACGCCGGATTCATAAACCATGGTTTATCAATTAGGCGGGGTACTCCTCCAATAGTCATTTCATCTAATACTTAAATGGTACCCTCCCAATTAAACAGCCGTAAACGGGGTTTATTAGTCCAGTTTGGTATACCATCTATCATCATTTACTTGTTGTTAAAGGGGTAAACCTTCAAACCCCTCTATTAATCAACCAACCAATGGGAATTTGGGACACCGAGTAATGGGTTGACATTAATGGGATTGGCTAATATTACCCTCTGGTAAACTAACAGTTTGCGAACTTGAAAATGGCCATAGAAATAGTGGATTTACCCATTAAAAATGGGTGGATTTTCCATAGTTTTTTTGTAGGTTTACCAGCGGGTATACCCTTTGGTTATTTCACAGTTCGCCATGGAAAATCATCACTTTCAATAGGCACCTCATCTGTTTCTATGGGTCATTTCCCAATTAAACAGCCCAGGGGTTTATTAATCTATTCCCACCATCTATTCACTCACATATCTTATCAGATATTTCCATTACCTCCCATCATGTATATATATATATAATATCTTATATTATCCTTTTATTAATCCATGATTGGCTAGTAATAACCGAAGTTTTACTTCTTCCCCACTGACCGACCGTCCAACGGCTTTGCCGAACGGTGCCTGTGCTGGATGAGTTCGTGGCCTCGCAGCTCAATCTGCCCGTCGTCGGAAATCTTGCGCCCGTCGATCTTCAGCAAAACCTTAGGCAACCATAGGAAAACCATAGGAAACCATAGGAAAATGCTGATTTAACCAAGAAACATGGGGATTTAATGGAATTTTAAAACTGATTGATTGATAGCTAAGTTGACTTATAACTTGGTTAACTAGGGTCTATGGGGGATATATGATATAACATGATAAAACTGTAGTTAATGGCTGTATAAACCAACTTACAACTGGGCCTCACCTCATAGCAAGCCATGAGAGACCATGGTTAGTATATGTATACATGGATGTATACATATATATTATATCAGCCACAGGTTTTCCCTAAACAAATGTGAAGCTGGTCTAGACACAATGATATTGGATACTTAGCGACAACGTTCACAAATAATTGATCAAATAACCAAACTACATCTTTATCTTTCTAATTTATTATATGTCAATATGTTTATTCAACCTGCTTTTAATGACAAACTAGGGGTCGTCTATCTTATATTGAACCACCATAGCATTCAGTGAAGTCAGGGACGGCTCGTCACTTTTTTAATCAAGGACACCCAATCATACAGGTCGGCATATTAAACCGTCACCACCTGAAATTTAAAGACCCTCTGGTATTTAACATAGCTATGGAAAATGGCCATTTATAGTTGGTTTACCCATTAAAAAGGATGATTTTCCATAGTTTTTTATATGTTTACCAGCGGGTATTTTGAACACGGTAGAAATCTTGGAGAATATGGTGGAAATATTGCTACATCTGTATCCATATTTAGAGAGGGATATAGCAACCATTTTTTCATTTGAATAAGGGATGAACTACCATATATATATATATATGTGTCAACTACATATCAATATAGTATACATATATATATACATAAAATATAATATCATATCATATATATATAATATAATTATCATATCATATCATATCATATCATATCATATATATATGTATATGCATGGCGGACGAAATTGCTTGTTCGTTTTCATGCCATACCCCCAACTTCGGGTCGTTTTTTTCGGTCCGATGTTGGTGAGGGAAGTAAGGCGTTCCCTTTCCGCACGGTTTCTTTCACCCGACTAAGGCAAAGCCAGACTAAAATTTGGTTGTTCAATAATTTTGTTTGTTACTCTATGTATAATATATATATATATTTATGTCTCCGTTTTACAGACGTGCTACAGGATCTATTCAAGCCAAGCAAAAACGTAATTTAAATCTCCCAACAATTGGCTGGTGAATTGCATTAAATCCCTTTTTCAAAGAAGCTCAAGTCACATGAACATTGGATATAAATATAATATAATATAATATAATATAGTATAATATAATATAATATATATATAATATATATATAATAAATAATATATATAATATATATAATATATATAATATATATAATATATATAATATATAATATATAATATATATAATATATATAATATATATAATATATATAATATATATAAAATATATAATATATATAATATATATAATATAATATATATAATATATATAATATATATAATATATATAATATATATAATATATATAATATATATAATATATATAATATATATAATATATACAATATATATAATATAATATATATAATATATATATATAATATATATAATATAATATAATATAATATAATACAATATAATATAATATAGTATAATATAATATAATATAATATAATATAATATATATCACAAATGTATCTTATTACAAGTTATTATATCCCATTAAGCCCCCATTTGGAAATGCTTTCCACTATCCCATCATATCCATGGTGAATCTTTCCTGCCATCTAGCTGCCATAGCCAGTAAAAGTACGAACTTTACCATTGATACCCGGCCTGGTAAACTATCACATGACTATAGGAAATCACCATGCTATTAATGGGAAAACTCACTATTTCGATTGGGCCATTTTCAATAGCTATTTGTATGTTTACCAGAGGGTATCCATTGATATCCATTGACATCGATGGCAAAAGATGAAGTTCTATGTTAAAGTATCAAATCCCATTAAATCAGCATGTTTATTCCTTAAATCCAGACACCCCGCCCTTAAAGAAAAACCATTGGATGCGACTCATCTCTGGTGCCAAGGGACATCACCGACTTTTAGGGAGCCTTCCAGGAACGGCGCGACCTGGGCGTTGGCGATTTTTGTGGGAGTTTCCAACAAGCCCTATACAAGGTGGTGCCCCCCTAGTTATAAAATGATCTATAAACCCCATTAACTATAGATATATCACCTATAAACCATAGTTATTGGAGTTATAAACCAACTTAGCTATGTTGGGGGCACTACCTTGTACCCTCTGGTAAACTCACAGGAAAATCACCCGGCTATTAAGAACGGTAAATCAACTATTTTTATGGGCCATGTTCAATAGCTTTGTTAAATGACTAGAAGGTTATAAAATCCGAAAATCACATGGATGATTTGGGGGCACCACTATTTGAGGAAACCTCCATATGGGGATATGGATATTTCATGATGATATGGTGGGTTTTTAGGGTCATAGAATGGGGGTGGATCGTTTTTTTTGGACAACACAAAAAACCTTTCCCCCACCTGGAGGATCATCCAACAAATCGTACCCTCTGGTAATGTCAAAATAGCTATTGAATAGCTGGCCCAATCGAAATAGTGGATTTTCCCATGAAACATGGTGATTTTCCATATAAATCACCATTTTCCCATGGATTTTCCCATGAAACATGGGTGGATCTTTCCATCGTTATGTGAAAGTTTACCAGGGGGTAACGATCGTCAATAACCCTGGTGATCGGTTTGTCCCCGATCCTTTGCTACCCAGCCACATAAACATAAACGATCTGTGGGATGATCCTCCACATCTTAGATTTCCGAAACAGTAAACGAACGGTTTGCCACAAAAAATGCTACAGCATTGATTTGGGAAACATCTGGCTCTATTAGAGGGTCATGTTCCATCTCTATGTTAGTTTAGGGTAGCGAGCATTTTTTTTGCCGGTTGACTCAGTGACCGGAGTTCAGCAAAGCTTGGGATCTCTGGGAGTCAGTCAGCAATTGGAAAGTTCATCATTAATGTCAACCCCGGATTAATAAATCAATGGATTGGTTTAAGGGAAATTTTACAGGAAACCATGGTTTTTACCATTAAATATGGAGTTTTCCTGTAAAATTTAACCTAAACCAATCCATTGAATAAACCATGGTTTATTAATTGGGGTACTCCTCCAATAGTCATTTCATCCAATACTTTTTTATGGTACTCTCCCAATAAAACAGCCGTGTTCGCGGGGTTTATTAATCCAGGGTTGACAGCAAAACCATAGTGGCATAGCGGTGTAATCGAGACACATGTGATTTCACCATCAAACATGAACATTTGTCTACCCTCTGGAAATTTAACGTAGCTATTGAAAATGGCCATAGTGGATTTTCCCATTAAAAATGGTGATTTTCCATAGCTATGTTAGTTTACCAGAGGGTAACCTGAGACTTTACTCAATAAAAGTAGGGATAGACCCTGATGTAATCTAACGCGGCTGGAAAATGAGTAACCAATAATGGAATCATCATGGGATGTTTATTCCCAAAGACGATCATGAATTGAATACGTTCATTCCTGGATAAATTCTAATCCCCAACCTGAAATAAGCTCCATTTTGGGATAATTACCCCGACTAAGGTCTTTATAATCTATATCATCTATCCAGATTCATGTCATGTTTGATGATCAAAGGATAGAACCAGCCGTGTTTTTGTTGGTGACAGATGAAACTGCCTGCCATGGGGATTTCATGATCTGCAAGCTGCATCGGGATGTTTTTCCTGCTCAACAAGCTCCGGGTATTGAGCGATGTCTGAAAACAGGGTATCTGGTTGGTGGTTTTTCGCCTAGCCCTCTGAAAAATGATGGACTGAAAGTCAGTTGGGATGATGAAATTCCCAACTTATAATGGAAAAAATGTCCCATTTGGCACCAACCAGGTCCGCCCAAATGGCCATTTGAATTGGGAAATTTCTGCTTGATCAATGGAGTTTTTAGGGGTCGCCTATGTTCAGACAAAGCCATATTCGGAGTTACCCGAGATCCTAGGGAAAACTGAAAACTAACATAGGCGTGGATAAGCTACAGGGTGGTGCCCCCAAACGATAGCTAAGTTGGTGAACATAACTCCAATTTCACTATGGTTTATGGTACCTATAAGTATAGTATTCATGGGGTTTATAACCCATTTATAACTGGGGGGGCACCACCTGGTAGGGTTTTCCTAGGAAAATGATCTGCTTATGTGGTGTTTTTTCCCACATCTATTCTAGTTTACCCTAGGGCACAGTAAGTGGATTTTTCACTTTGGGTCAAAGTAGTCTGGGGGTTGGTCAATTCCACCTATTGGCAATAGCCAAGCTCCACTGAATTATGATTTTCAGAAACCCATCCAAAATCAACCGCTATAATTTCACTTAGTAAATAGCTACCCTAACCCTGGTTATACATTGGCTAAGTAGAATGAGTCCACTTACAGCTGGGCTTTTTTTTACATCTTTTTTGACCTACGGACCTGACTTGTGGGATGAACCCCTATGAATCCTTGATTTTTCGGATGACATGCCAATCTTCATTGTTGAAAATGACCCAATCGAAATAGTGGATTTTCCCATGAAACATGGGTGGATCTTTCCATCGTTTTTTGTATGTTTACCAGAGTATAATCCCAATATTCACATGATTATCCCATGATTATTCCAATTAATCCATATGGTTCATAATCCCATGATTGTCCCATAGTTATGTTCCATAATTATAGTTACCAACAGAATCAATAGAATCCATCATAGATAATCATCCAAAGAATCCAAAGATAATGGATTTTACCATTAAACAGCTGTGATTTTCCATCGTTTTTTGTATGTTTACCAGGCCGTTTCTAGTGCTTCAAACACCTCATTTTCCATCCTCTGGCACCGGTGATTCCGGACCTGCTGGGACCTCCGGACGCTGGTCAGCAGAACTCCAGAGATCTCGTGTGGCACTTTATGTGCCGCGCGCAGTGATTGGTTCTCCTGACAGCTTCGACCCAATCGCAGGCAGTTTGCGGGGTTGGAAGATGAGTGAAACCACTAAACATGGGTGATTTTCGGGGTCTAATGAGTCTAATGTTGATGTACCAGAAGGTAACCGTGTTAAGATGTTTTAATCCTCACTGTGAAACTGTGAAAACTATAAAGAAAAAGGTCGGAGTCCCTCAATGATACGATTTCAACACCACTTTGATTGACTCAATGTCTACATCGACCCTCCTTCCAAACATCTTCTAGATACACCTGAACAAGACTGTTGCCCTTTTGTTCCTCTTGTGCATGTTCCCATTTGTGCGGTCTTTCGGTCCCCCAGACCGAACGCGATATGGGTATGGTTTAAAGTTTAAAACCTATTGGCCCAAGATTTTTAGGGATGAACATTCATGAATACAACTATCTCGAAGTTACTCTTTGGTAATTTAACAGTTCGCCATGGAAAATAACCACACTTTCAAAGCAAAATCCTCTACAAATGGGCCATAGATAGCCGGATGAAATGACCGGAGGCTATCCCAATTTATCCAGATGATATCCCATGATATCACCATTACCCTCTGGTAAACTAACAATTTGCTATTGAAAATGACCATAGAAATAGTAGATTTACCCATTAATAGCATGGGTGGATTTTCCATAGTTATGTGAACATTTACCAGAGGGTAATTATGGTTCCATTCCATTCCCAGCTAATCTACTATATCTACTATATGCCATTCCTTGCTATGGTCAAAGGAAGTTGGGAAGCAATACTTCCGAGTTACGAATGACTTTTACTTGATGGAATTGACTATGATGAAGGGTGGTGCGCGAGTGAGACTTGACCTTGGTGAAGGGTGGTGTGAGCCTTTGCATTACATGACAATACAGAGGGATGAAGGGTGGTGCGCGAGTGAGACTTGACCTTGATGAAGGGTGGTGTGAGCCTTTGCATTACATGACAATACAGCAGAAAAGAACTGACTTTGATGAAGGGTGGTGTGAGACTTTACACTACATAACCATACATCAGAAAAGAACTGACCTTGATGAAGGGTGGTGTGAGACTTTACACTACATAACAATACATCAGAAAAGAACTGACCTTGATGAAGGGTGGTGTGAGACTTTACACTACATAACAATACATGAGTGAAGAACTGACTTTGATGAAGGGTGGTGTGAGACTTTACACTACATGACAATACAGCAGGAAAGAACTTACTTTGATGAAGGGTGGTTGTGAGACTTTACACTCAATAACAATACATCAGGAAAGAACTGACTTTGAGTTTTGCAGCGAGTGGTTGTTCCTGTGTGCGTAGTCCTATGCGGTTCTTGAATCTCTGGTTGCAGATTGCAATGGAATGGCTGCATGAATGTTGCATGGGCTATGTTTTGGGGAGGAAGCCGGAGCACGAAACCTTGTGTTTTTCCGTGTAAAGTGGCTGCAGCCGGCGATGAAAGGTACCTCGTCTGTGCGACGGGTGCGGCTGCGGTCGTTTTGTGCGCGAATTGTTCCTCCTATGTGTTTTGCAACGAGTGGTTGTGTCTGTGTGCGTAGTTCTATGCGGTTTTTGAATCTCTGGTTGCAGATTGCATTGGAATGGCTGCTTCATTGTCGTCATTTGATGTTGCCACGTGCGTAGATAGGTGCGGGTTTGCCACGGGATGCTGCGAAACGCATTGTAATGGCTGCATGAATGTTGCATGGGCTATGTTTTGGGGAGGAAGCCGGAGCACGAAACCTTGTGTTTTTCCGTGTAAAGTGGCTGCAGCCGGCGATGAAAGGTACCTCGTCTGTGCGGCGGTTGCGGCTGGGGTCGTTTCATGCGCGAATTGTTCCTCCTATGTGTTTTGCAACGAGTGGTTGTTCCTTGTGCGTAGTTCTATGCGGTTCTTGAATCTCTGGTTGCAGATTGCATTGGAATGGCTGTTCATTGTCGTCATTTGATGTTGCCACGTGCGTAGATAGGTGCGGGTTTGCCACGGGATGCGCGAAACGCATTGTAATGGCTGCATGAATGTTGCATGGGCTATGTTTTGGGGAGGAAGCTGGAGCACGAAACCTTGTGTTTTTCCATGTAAAGTGGCTGCAGCCGGCGATGAAAGGCACCTCGTTTGTGCGGCGGTTGCGGCTGGGGTCGTTTTGCGCGAATGGTTCCTGTGTGTTTTGCAACGAGTGGTTGTTCTGTGTGCGTAGTTCTATGCGGTTCTTGAATCTCTGGTTGCAGATTGCATTGGAATGGCTGCTTCATTGTCGTCATTTGATGTTGCCACGTGCGTAGATAGGTGCGGGTTTGCCACGGGATGCTGCGAAACGCATTGTAATGGCTGCATGAATGTTTCATGGGCTATGTTTTGGGGAGGAAGCCGGAGCACCAAAACTTGCGTTTTTCCGTGTAAAGTGGCTGCAGCCGACGATGAAAGGTACCTCGTCTGTGCGGCGGGTGCGGCTGCGGTCGTTTTGTGCGCGAATTGTTCCTCATGTGTTTTGCAACGAGTGGTTGTGTCTGTGTGCATAGTTCCATGCGGTTCTTAAATCTCTGGTTGCAGATTGCATTGGAATGGCTGCTTCATTGTCGTCATTTGATGTTGCCACGTGCGTAGATAGGTGCGGGTTTGCCACGGGATGCTGCGAAACGCATTGTAATGGCTGCATGAATGTTGCATGGGCTATGTTTTGGGGAGGAAGCCGGAGCACGAAACCTTGTGTTTTTCCGTGTAAAGTGGCTGCAGCCGACGATGAAAGGTACCTCGTCTGTGCGGCGGGTGCGGCTGCGGTCGTTTTGTGCGCGAATTGTTCCTCCTATGTGTTTTGCAACGAGTGGTTGTGTCTGTGTGCGTAGTTCTATGCGGTTCTTGAATCTCTGGTTGCAGATTGCATTGGAATGGCTGCTTCATTGTCGTCATTTGATGTTGCCACGTGCGTAGATAGGTGCGGGTTTGCCACGGGATGTTGCGAAATGCATTGTAATGGCTGCATGAATGTTGCATGGGCTATGTTTTGGGGAGGAAGCCGGAGCACCAAACCTTGTGTTTTTCCGTGTAAAGTGGCTGCAGCCGACGATGAAAGGTACCTCGTCTGTGCGACGGGTGCGGCTGCGGTCGTTTTGTGCGCGAATTGTTCCTCCTATGTGTTTTGCAACGAGTGGTTGTGTCTGTGTGCGTAGTTCTATGCGGTTCTTGAATCTCTGGTTGCAGATTGCATTGGAATGGCTGCTTCATTGTCGTCATTTGATGTTGCCACGTGCGTAGATAGGTGCGGGTTTGCCACGGGATGCTGCGAAACGCATTGTAATGGCTGCATGAATGTTGCATGGGCTATGTTTTGGGGAGGAAGCCGGAGCACGAAACCTTGTGTTTTTCCGTGTAAAGTGGCTGCAGGCGACGATGAAAGGTACCTCGTGTGTGCGACGGGTGCGGCTGCGGTCGTTTTGTGCGCGAATTGTTCCTCCTATGTGTTTTGCAACGAGTGGTTGTGTCTGTGTGCGTAGTTCCATGCGGTTCTTGAATCTCTAGTTGCAGATTGCATTGGAATGGCTGCTTCATTGTCGTCATTTGATGTTGCCACGTCCGTAGATAGGTGCAGGTTTGCTACGGGATGCTGCGAAACGCATTGTAGTGGCTGCGTCAAGGTTGCTCGGTGCTGCGGCTGCATGCGTAATACTATTGTCTTTTGCAGCTGAAGATCGTAAATCGTATTGGAATGGCTGCATCAAGGCTGCGAAAGTGAATTTGTCAGCAGATTTTCTCAATTTTGGCGCTAATAATTTTCCTTTTAAAATTCCTTTTAAAAAGTGCTTCAAAATCGTCTTTTTGTCGCTTTGGCGTCGAGATCCGGTTTTGGAGCTGCAATTTCCGACGCCATTGCACGTAGTTCTATTGTGTTTTGCAACTCAGTCTCTGCAGATCGCATTGTAGTGGCTGCGTCAAGGTTGCTTGGTGCAGCGGCTGCATGCGTAATACTATTGTCTTTTGCAGCTGAAGATCGTAAATCGTATTGGAATGGCTGCATCAAGGCTGCGAAAGTGATTTGTCAGCAGATTTTCTCTATTGTCTTTTGCAGCTGAAGATCGTAAATCGTATTGGAATGGCTGCATCAAGGCTGCGAAAGTGATTTGTCAGCAGATTTTCTCAATTTTGGTGCAATGTGAAGTCGTGAGGAAAGTGTTTGCATTCTACCGGGGTCGCGCGCAGGTCATGTTCTTGGACAGCAACACTGCAACAGCTTCGCACAAAGCACGCACGCACGGGCCTGGCTGGCGCACGGCGCATGCAAGTTCCTTAGTAGTAGTACTGGGAAGTGATTCATGAAAGCTTAGGTGACATATGAGAAGAGATGAGATGAGAAGAGATGAGCTGGGATAAGGTGAGAAGAGATCAGATGAGATGAAGTGTGGAGTGTGAAGAGTGCAGTGTGAAGTGTGGGGCGTGAAGAGTGCAGTGTGAAGTGTGGAGTGTGAAGTGTGAAGTGTGAAGTGAGAAGTGTGAAGTGTGGACTGTGAAGTGTGAAGTGTGGAGTGTGAAGTGTGGATTGGGGAGAGCGCAGTGTGAACTGAGAAGTGTGAAGTGTTGACTGCGAAGGGTGCAGTGTGAAGTGTGAAGACTGTCAAGTGTGAAGTGTGACGTGGGGCTTCAAGTGTGACATGTGAAGCAGGACACAACTTTCGCAGTGTGCACGCACGCACGGGCTTCGCTGGCGCACGGCGCATGCAAGTTCTATAGATGAGAAAGGTCTTATATATATATCTTTAAGGCAACTTCCGCCCCGCCTCGTGCGGGTACTACTGGTAATTATGAATACTGATCATCGATGATATTCCATAGCTATTATCCTTCACAGCTCCCGGGCTCCAGCTTATGCCATCGGTATGGCACGCAGGGGGACAAGGTGTAGCCGTGTCGTTCCTGGCCGGACCGCCGTGTTGTTGTGTTGTTCGGCCAACGGAAGGTGTGATTCCTACCCACTAAGAAATGGATAGATAGGACCAGCAGAAATGGTGATTTATGATTTACCATCTGGTTATGACTAACAGTTCGCCATGGAAAGATCCACCATGCTATTAATAGGTAAACCATCTATTTCTATAGGCCATCTATACCATGGCTATGTTAGCCATAACCAGGTTGGGTAGTTCTTGATGGTACAAGGTGGTGCCCTCTCCAAAACGCTGAGCAGCAAGACGAGTTTATATCTCCAATGACTTGGGCCTATGGTAGATGTATCTACAGATAATAGTGGTTATGAACTAAGTTATAACTGGGGGGGTCATAACCTTGTACAGGGTGGTGCCCCAGTTCGGAATCGCTAAGTTGGTGAACATAAGTCCAATTTCACTATGGTTTATAGGTGATATATCGAAATAGTTACTGGGATTATAACCCGTTTATAACTGGGGGGGCACCACCTTGTAGTTGTAGCCTTCTGTTGGGTTTACAACTGAGCGAAAAAAACCGTTTATGGTAGATGTATCAAACTAGTTAGATGTGCTAAAATAAACCAACTTGTCACTGCAAGGTGGTGCCCCCTAGTTATAAATTGGTTTATAAATCCCATTGACTAGTTCGATATATCACCAACAAAAACCAACACGTGAAATTGGAGTTATGTGAACCCCAACTGAAAGCTATCATAAACCACTATAACCCCCATGAACTAGTTCGTTATATCTACCATAAACCAGAGTTAGTTCAGCCACTGAAATAAGGCACCTGAACGATCAACTCCTAGGGAGTTCCTGCCAAAGGTATGGGAATCATATGGTATGCATCAATAGTGGTTATAATACCAATATAGTCTAGTGATTATATACGGTGATTAATGATGGGATTATATATCTATATATGGGATTACTGGGAATCATATGGGATTATATGGGATTATGTATGGGATTATGTATGGGATTATGTATGGGATTATGTATGGGATTATGTATGGGATTATATGGGATTATGTATGGGATAATAGATGCTGGTTGGTGGTTGACCTACACCTCTGAAAAATCATGGAGTTTTAGTAACAGTTGGGATGATGAAAATCCCAACTTTTTATGGAACGTCTAATCAAATTCCATGGTTCCAGTCACCACCAACCAGATAGGCTATCTATCCATTTCGAGGTCCCTTTTTAGAGGCATATAACGGAACTATTGGGGTTCAGAGCGGATCCCGAGAAAAAAGTGACGGTTAAATCTTCAACAATTATGGCGACACTGGGCTGGTGAATATGATCCAAAATGGTTCCACTTGTAGCCCATATCCCATATATATATATTGCTTGGTTTACTATTAAACCCCATGAGACTGCCGAAAGATTCGACTATTTGTTCACTAGCCTTCGCCACACAGGTGGAGGAGTCCATGAAGTTTAGAACGGGCGGCTTAAAACCACCAGTGCAAAAACTACTGGAGAGTCTTATGAAACCAGTTATTTAACCAGTTATTGATGTCATAGTAGTTTTAACTGGCGTAAGGGTCTTTTTCAAACCTGGTTAGGAACTGGCGCAAAGCCAACAGTGCAAAACATTTTACAAGCCCAGTTCCAAACCAGTTATTACTCCGGTATGTGGGATGGGGCACCAACTTGCAGGAATCTCTTGGGGAATGTGTTGTTTCTTCCTTTCTCATATACGTTGCCATCAAGATGGGCAACATCTATGCGGTCACATCATCTTTCAAATTTATCACTACTATAGTCCATTCTGAGTTGTATCTCTGATTTTCCAGGATTTTTGCAATGTAGAGTTAGCCCAGACTCCCAATTGTCCAAAAAAACCTAACAAAATTCTACTTATCTGCCACTACCTTGGATCTGTATATGTGTGTATATATATATATATATGCATCCAATTTGGCCACTGGTTAGTAAGCCTTGTCGGGAGCTGCCCCAGCACAGTAGTAGTGGTGATGATGATGAGGATGATGATGATGATGATGCTGGTGGTGGTGGTGGTGGTGCTGGTGGTGCTGGTGGTGGTGGTGAGGATGAGGAGGAAGAGATAAGATAAGACAACATGAGATAAAATCAAACCTGGTTGGTCGTTTCAACCCCTCCGAAAAATATGAAAGTCAGTTGGGATTATTATTCCCAATATATGGAAAAAAAACATGTCCCAAACCACCAACCAGATGATAGTGTTCCTGAAAGTGATAAGGGTATTATTTTCCATCATAGATGTTCACCTTTTTGCTAAAGCCACACGTCCTATTTGTTAAAATCACCTGTGGTTCACTACGTTCATCCCCATGACCACTATGGGAAAACCAGCATTTTTGCTGGTGAAATTGCAATTTTCATTGGTTAACCCTAGTTTTAACAGGTCCAACCTCATTTTTTGCCACTTCACTGCAAGCTGGTGCCTCCCCCAAAGTTATGTGAATGTTGGTTAATTCACTTGTGATCACACAACATTCAAATAAGTTCTCAAGTAAACATATACCCTCTGGTAAACTAACATAGCTATTGAAAATGGCCCATAGAAATAGATGGTTTACCTATTAAAAATGGTGATTTTCTATAGCTATGTTAGTTTACCAGAGGGTATCTAGCTGCTCAGTTCCCCAAAAAAACCTTGTTGGTTAATAAACCCAGGATTCGGGGGCACCACCTCACCATCACCATTTAAAATCACCATTCAACCATCATAGGATCACCATTAAATCACCATGAAAAATCACCATTCAATCATCATTTTCCCTGGTTAAATCCCCATAAAATCAGCATTTTCCCTGGTTAAATCCATAGAATTCCCATTCAAAAAACCCTACGATCTGGGCACCAAAAACCACCGGACGGGCCTTGCCACAGCGATCTAGAAAGGTGCGCACCACAGAGGAGGGGATGACCTCATTCCAGAAATGGGCTTATCATGGTAATATCATGGTAATACCATGGTAATATCATGGATTATCATGGTTCATGGTATATGAAATTTAAGCATCATTATCAATCTTATCAATTATCATCAGCTGTTTCCAAGATACAGGGTTATTTGACATAGCTATGGAAGCCATGATCCATTTAATAGATGATAAACATGATGATTTACCTATAAACAACTTACCTGCCCCTCTGAAAAATATGAAAGTCAGTTGGGATGATTCTTCCCAACTGAATGGAAAATCAAACATGTTCCAAACCACCAACCAGTATATATATATATGTATATATATATGGCTGTGAGTCAAAACCCCCGGTCCCCGGTGGATATGCGGCAGCCTTCTGTTCAATAGGGTATTGAACGGGGGTATTGAACGGGAGGTATTGAACGGGGGGATAACGGGGGGTATTGAACGGAGGGCATTTCCTAAACAAACATCCCACCGACTTTGGAGGCATAGCTGGGCAACGGAGCTGGAAAGCCCATAGTGAGGTATTGAACGGGTATTGAACGGGTATTGAACGGGGTATTGAACGAACTACCTCAAAAAACCGGTAGCCGAACCAGTCATCAAGTTCTCTGCCACGCGGGAAATCACTACGAGTACAAAGGAAAACAGCAAATACACCAGTTGGAATCACCCAAGCTCCCAAGACCCAGGGTGCCGTGCAGGGTGCTGTCCAGACTGCGGTGGCGAAGTCTGGCAAAGGTGCTGTGCAGGGTGCTGTGCAGGGTGCTGTCCAGACTGCGGTGGCGAAGTCTGGCAAAGGTGCTGTCCAGACTGCGGTGGCGAAGTCTGGCAAAGGTGCTGTGCAGGGTGCTGTGCAGGGTGCTGTGCAGGGTGCTGTCCAGACTGCGGTGGCGAAGTCTGGCCAAGGTTGCAGGGTGCTGTGCAAAAAGTACCTAGAATTGAAGCAGTATATTTATTGAACAAGGGTATTGAACAAGGGTATTGAACGGGGTATTGAACAGGGGGTATTGAACGATGGGGACCCTTCTGTTCAATAGGGTATTGAACGGGGTATTGAACGGGATATCCACGAGTACCTGTTCAATACCAAAACGTTTTGACTCACAGCCATATATATATATACACCCTCTGGTTATTTAACATAGCCATGGAAAATGTCCTTAGCTAGGTGCTGGACACATGCACGTAAGACGGAATTTTAAAACACAGCCGAAACCCGAGCTTAAACGCGACAATGATCTACCGAAGAGCTTCGTTTTGCGAAGAAAGTGGATCCGATGGGTGATCGGCTCAAGAAAAATCCACTCGTCGAATCGACGGCTGTTCGCGTGGTAATATTTGAAGACATAGCATCGGCTCATGATCGCTTCCGCCACCGGAGTTGGCGCGGCCGGCATCTCCGCAGGAAGTGACTGCACCATTTGCACAAGCGCCATGGCGCCAGTCTTAACTTTGGAGGCAGGGAGCTGGGAGCTCTCTAAGACACCAAATGACCTGTTTAGGACCTCTTCAGGAGAGAAGTGAGTTAAGTATCGGTTATCCATATATAGGTTATATTATCTATTATCTATTTGGATAACCTTAAGTTTATAGTTAAGTGCCGTAAGTGATCCAAATAACTCAAGGCTACGGCCAGTCCCTTCTTGTTTGGGTTACCGTTTGGATGTGGATGCTTCCAAGCACTGCTTGGATGACGCGCTTGATGATTTCCCTGTGAAATCCATGGTGATTCTCCAGTTCGCTACGTTAAATAAACGGAGGGTAACTATTAACTAGAGTATTATAGGTATAGATAATTCTGGATATATTGATAGATATAGATATATCTTTAGATAATTATTAAGTAGAGTGTTTCACTATCAATAATTTTTAGATATAGATAATCATACATTTCAATAGGATTTTCCATGAAATAAACCATCCAGCTATTGGGGTACATCCATGACTATGGAAACACCATCTATAGATAATTTTTGATATAGAACTAGATATTATATATATATGTATGTATGTAGATATAACCCCATTATCTAGTCAAATATATAGATAGATATCTATCATAGATGATAATTATATATAATTATTAGACTATTCAATCATCAATAAATAGCAATAAGTAATTATATTTATGACGATCATTCTATGTGATATTTATCCCAGTAAATTAACATAGACCCGGCCTTAAATAGGGGGCTTCGATGGGTTTCTAAGCAACTCAGAAACCCTGCTGACATTAGAAAGGCTACAATGCTACAAGAGTCCAGTCCTCAGTTAAAAAAACGATGTCCAACCATGAACATCTTTCTTTTACGATGTGGGTGGGAATAAAGTATATTCCCATAGCTCCTCCTAACCACTGGAGGGTTTGCCAACATCTCAAAAAACAGGTCGGTGATTTCCAGAATACAGACATCTTCTCTGCAGGCCAGGCTTTCCACATAATTACTTTCCACCGCCATACCCCACCATTTTTAACGCTGCGGCTAGCCAAGAAGCATAACCGATGTTGTCCGTGCAATTGCGGACATCCTGGTGACGTGGTGAGGCCCATTGAAAACAACCCGAGCGCCGCGCACAGCGAGGTTTCTTGGCTTGCTCAGACATTGCTCACACAATGCTGACTGGCTGTTTCCGTAACAAAAAATGGGTGTGTCTGAAAATAGTGTACCCCTAAACCCAATGGTTTTGCTGATCATTATCCCTATTAAATGGCTATTTCATTGGGAATATACCCTATTTTCAGACAAACCCAAATGCTGCTTCCAACTCTCACACTTTCCATCTGACATTCTATCTCGTGTGCAACGAACTTCTTGAAAGCATTTGAAAGCCAATAGTTATGAGGGGTTCCTGAGTCATGGGGGGTACCCCAAATCATCCAGTCATTAAATCATGACTTAATTAGGATTGAAACTAGTAACAAATACGGTATTTTCAATGGCCATTTCAGGAACCTAAATTGGAGGTACCTACCATATATAAGGCCTATATAAGGCCTATGTAAGGGAATGTCATCACAAAATATGGCCTTATATGGTACTAACGTACCTCCAGTTTAGGATCCTGGAATTCTCATGGCTATTCTGGGGGATCCATGGCAATCAAACAGAGAAAACGTAGAGTCGTGTGACTGCGTACTTGTGACTGCGTAACAGTAAACAGGGAACATTCAAAGCAATCGAAAGTTCCATATGGTAACCCGAATGCTCCATGGTGCTGGTATATTTACCTACAAAACTGGGTGATTTATGGGGTAAATGTTGGTAAATAGTCCAGCACCATGGAGCATTTGGGTAATAGCATATGGGGATCTTTTCTTGGAATACTTGACCATAGATGCTACAGATGCCTAGAGATCAACCTCCAAAAAAATCCGTCGTTCGTCATCATGTTCCGCCCAATTTTTGGGACATGTTGGGGACTGTCCCAATCTACAAACGAACGTCACTGGCTGGAAAAGGAAAGTGATGCCGAGGTCAACCTGAGTCAAATGGGAGCTTCACCAGAAAGCTCCGAAACACCAAACATAGTCCCACAGGGTGGTGCCCCAGTTCGGAATCGCTAAGTTGGTGAACATAAGTCCAATTTCACTATGGTTTTTGTTGGTGATATATCGAACTAGTTACTGGGATTATAACCCATCTTATAACTGGGAGGGGCACCACCTTGCAGGGTCCCAGGTACTCAGAGCGGCGTTTTGTAAATGGGCAATCAATGAGAGGCCAGCCAATTTATCCTCCATGACCTCGGGATGCCAGATTTTGCATCGTTTTCAGAGCTTGACGACACTTTCACCGCTCTGTCATGAGCTGGATCTCCCTCGGGAGTCCTCTGGTTTCTACCGTGCTCAGCCATTAATGGGCAACCAACTCTATATCAATGGCCTTGATGAACATCTACAGGAAACCAGTTGGGGTGAAACAGGGTATAACAATGGGATTTTAGCTTCATGTGCTGCGATATGGGGCCCTATAAATAACACCTTATAACCTTGGCAACATATATCCAATTAGAAGTGGATCTGCATCCCCCGAGCAAATCTCAAGGTGCCTTATATCATGGTTCTATCATGGTTTTTTCTCGCCTTTTTGGATCTTTTTGGTAGTTATCATCTCCAGCAATCCAATCCGTTTGATGTTGCAGGGTAAACCATTCATGCAACCATCACCATGCTGACATCAAATCCTCATGGGTTTCCACCGTAAAATTCAGATTTCCAAAGGAAAAACCCGAAGGTTCATGGATCAAATCCCAATATCCACTGCTCAAAGCTGATATTTTTTCTCAAATTCCCATTTTCAATGGGGAAATCCCCATTTTCAATGGTGAAATCCCCCTGTTTCTGAAGGCTTTTTGGCTCTCCCCAAGCCCACAATTCCCATCGTTAACACCGGGCCTTACAGAAGGCCACCCCGGTGATGTAGCCGCGGCTATCAAAGACCGGGCCACCGCCTGACGTGGGTCCGGAGAATTTGGGATATTTTTTGGGGCACAAAAAAATGGCTGGTTTTCATCCAAAACATAGATTTAAGATGATTTAAGATGTTTAAACATAGGGATAACATAGGGATCTTTGAAAGATGTTTAAAAGAATAAGGAATACCCCCCCAAATCCGCTTTCTCCTCATTCTCCCTCTTGTTGCCATAGCTTGGGGCATGCTTGGCATTTTCAGACACATCCTAAAAACGCGTAAACGATTTTCCTTTCATGCCAAATTTGATGACGGTATCGAAATTGCGATGTCATTCATTTGTCCAAACCCTCAATCTTGTAAAGTTAATCCCAAATACAAAAGACTCTTGATATCATGCAGACGGGTCCCCCTAAACAAAATGTTTTAGAACATGATGTGAAATGTTTCCAAACATGTTTCCAACAGGTCCCCCTGTTTCCAGAATGTCTTTCCACAAGTGACAGCTTTTCACAAGTGACAACTTGTTGTTTCACTATGAATATCAATTATCCTCAAGAAACATCATTGTCATTAGTGTCATTCTCATTATGGTTGTTTCCTCCAACCATGCTTCGCATCATTTTCAATTATCATCAGCTGTTTCCAAGATACAGGGTTATTTGACATAGCTATGGAAGCCATGATCCATTTAATAGATGATAAACATGATGATTTACCTATAAACAACTGGTTGGTGGTATACCTACCCCTCTGAAGAATATGACAGTCAGTTCGGATTCTTATTCCCAACTGAATGGAAAGTCATAAAACATGTTCTAGTCACCACCAACCAGACTAGTTCGATATATCACCAACAAAAACCAGAGTGAAATTGGAGTTATGTGAACCCCAACTTAGCTATCATAAATCAGCTATAAACTTGATGATAAACTTGATGATTTCCCTATTAAAAATGGCGATTTTCCTACAGAAATTCCAAGAGATCGGTCGTTTTTTACGGCATCAGCAGGGCATCGGCAGGGCAGGTCCCCGGGGTCCCCGGGGTCCCCGGCTATTCCCCGGGTTGATGGCAGCATCAATCTGAATCACCAGCCTGGAAAGAACACAAAAATTTTCGGCCCAAAAAATCACTGGGTTTATGAACCATATGGATTAATATTGGCAAATAAAATGGATGATTTTTGGGAAAAAATGGGATAATCATGGGATAATAATGGATTTCATGGAAATTTATTGGGGATATCCCAATAGCTGGATGGTTTATTTCATGGAAAATCCGAACCTAAAATGGATGATTTTTGGGAAAAAAATGGGACAATCATGGGATAATCATGTGAATATTGGGATTATCCTCTGGTAAACTTTCACATAACTATGGAAAATCCACCCATTTTTGATGGTTAAATCAACTATTTCTATGGCCATTTTCAATAGTTATGTTAGTTTACCAGAGGGTAGGTCAGAAAACTCGGCGGATTTTTTGGATTTATGGTGATTATTTCGGGTGATGTTTTTTCGAGTTCTGGAGATGGTCTGGATTTCTTCGGACAGTCCCAAGACTCCAGTCATTTTTGTTCTTGAGATGATGAACCAGTGGATGGAATATGGGATATGACTGTCAAAAAACACAGTCTTTTTCAAACTCAAATTTTGCAGTTTCATTAACCAATAAATGGACATGTATTCAATGTATTCTGAGGATTGGCGTTCCTTACAAATCACAATGCTAAGCAATGGATGTTCCTTCACTGTGTTTCATCAACTGGATATCCACCAATTGAAGTGTGCTTGAAGGTGGTGGTGCCCCCCCAGTTATAAATGGGTTATAATCCCAGTAACTAGTTCGATATATCACCAACAAAAACCAAGACGTGAAATTGGACTTATGTTCACCCCAACTTAGCGATTTAGCTCACTGGGGCACCACCCTGAAGGTGGTGGAACATACCCCCGTTGCAAACTCTGATGAAATCATACTTGGGGTGCTGCGAAACATTGAGGTTTTTTTCCCGCAAGTTATAGAGGTCATTACCATAGCAATACCCATTATCAATGGATTGGTTTTCACGGGAAAATCTACAGGAAACCATGGTTTTTACCATAAAATATAGGGCTTTCCGGTTTCAATTTTCCCATCATCCAGTTCTATGACATTAGAAAGGATGATTATTCAAGGTATCTTGTTCATGGTCGAAACATCCTGCTGCGAACTCTGCGAACTCAAAGTGCGGACAAACTCTGGCTGATTTGGGACGTTTGGATTGATTGGTTGTTGAGGCACCCATGATCAGAGAGTTGCCATTATGGCCATATCATCATCCCATCTCCGGAGAAGAACCATAAAGAGCCGATATTCAACACCGCGCAACCACCTTCATTACATGTTTACCGATGATCACCTGAGGTTGAACGTGGAACCATCTTTTGTTGGTCAAAGAATCTCATTTTGGTAGATCACATGCCCAGTCTGATGAACCATTCCCTGGTTGGTGGTGTTAACCATCTTGAAAAATCATGGAGTAAATCATGGAGTTCGTCAATGGGGTTGGGATTATCCCATATATGAAATGGATGAAAGTGGATGTATCTATAGTTTCACTAAGTGGATGTAAGTGGATGTACCCTCTGGTAGTTTAACATAGCTATTGAAAATGGCCATAGAAATAGTGGATTTTCCCATGAAAAATGGTGATTCTTGATCAAAACCCCGTTTCTTCGATCCACATTGGTGAAATCCCGAGCTTTCCACAGTTGTTGTTGCTTGACATACTTGACATCTTACCATTTAGCTGTGGTTCAATGCCACTTCTTGCTATTTTCGGCTGGGCCCCAAGAACCAAGGATAAATCACTTAGGTGAAAAGTGGGATTTACCATGTTTGAAACTAAGCCCTTCACCAGATTTTTTTCATGTATTATAATGTATAATCTCCCAACCAATCATCAATCAACTATCATTTACCAATGATATCCCTTTACCAATGATCTTTAAGCCCTTCCATTGGCTTCCACCATCTTGTGGGCGCGATGCGCTCAGCAGCTCATAAGCGATCCAAGAAACGTGGTATCCGCTGGCGGTGTCAGTTCGATGGAATCCACACGTGACCTCTGGAAGTTCGGAAGCGGATACAGAGCCATGAGAACTAATCCATAATAAGATATGTTTGGAGATTTAGTTATCATTATTAGATAATTCATAATAAGAAACTATTTCATGATTACCTAATCATAGTCCTATCCATTGCAATGACTACAAGGTGGTGCCCCCCAGTTATAAATGGGTTATAAACCCCAGTAACTAGTTCGATATATCACAAACAAAAACCATAGTGAAATTGGACTTATAAACCAACTTAGCTAACGAACTGGGGCACCACCCTGTAGTTATGATGATAAGAAATGGGATGGATTAGCTAATCATAATTATCTAATTATGGGTTAGTTATTCCCATAATAAGGTAAATATTTTAGGATAAGAGATGATTAGGGAATTCTGATGGATCCATAATTTCCATATAATCTCATGATAACACTACTAATGAGATTATATGGGATTATATGGAAAAAATATAGGATAATACGAGTGTGACGACGGTGAAACCATCCATGAAACATCGAGGAAATACTGGGAATCATATGGGATTATGTATGGGATAACACTTATATGGGATTATGTATGGGATTATATACAATAGGATAATATGGGATTATATATAATAGGATTAAATTATATGCATTATATATATAGGATAGGATAATAGAAAATAGGGTATGAAATAGTGAGATTACTAGGGCTACAGGGCTACTCAGGGTGCCCTTGAGGTTGCTTTTATGGCTGCCATGAGATGTTAAAATTCATAGGTTGGGATGTGGGGCCCCTAGGGTGAAATCTACACCCCCATAACTGATAGATGGGATTTAATAGGAATTAAATAGGGATAAAATCACCTAATATGGAGATATACCCTCTACTAAACTATAACTATGGAAAACCACCATTTTTCATGGGTAAATCCACTATAAATGGTCATTTTCAATAGCTATGTTAAATTACCAGAAGGTAAATAGGGATAAAATCACCTAATACGGAGATATAATTGGATATGATTTGGATAATACAAACTCAACATGACCAATGGCTGTTTAGTTTAATTCCATCCATGCCCAGTCCAAACATCATAGGTAATGATGTCATAAATCCTTTGAACACGATTCATTATAGAAAATGGGTATCGTTTTGGATGGGGGATGAGGTATGATGATGACATCCTGTCATGAATTAATGTATGACATAATTGATCAAAGGAAAATTAACAGAATCCATCCCCCAATAGTCAATAACCAATAGAGAACTAATAGAATTCATGTGTGAAAATTGATGTGAAACTAATTTTCATAGAATTACAGTACCCTCTGGTAATTTAACATAGCTATTGAAAATGGCCATTTATAGTGGATTTACCCATAGAAAATGGTGATTTTCCATAGTTATGTTAGTTCACCAGAGGGTAGTTTTTTCTGTGAAAATGGATTGCTTCTTCCCATACCCCAATCGAATCCGTCTGTTGACAGATCGACTCCAGGTTCCCAGGCACAACCCCCTCGGTGATACAGAGCGTTCGGCCACCTGCGATCCGATGGCAGTAATGGGCACAGCATGACGAAGAGGACTTCAGATCTACCCTCTGGTTATGACTAACAGTTCGCCATGGAAAATCACCATTTATAGTGGATTTTCCCATTGAAAATGGTGATTTTCCATAGTTATGTTAGTTTACCAGAGGGTAAAGCCAAATCGCTGTCTCAAGTTTAAAGCTGAAGCCAAGATGTGCGATTTCGCATTTATGAATGGGGAGGAGTTGCAAACCTTGAACATCTTCACATATCTTAACTATCATGGGGTTGGACAACTCCCATTTTTAGCCGTACCTGCCAGCTCAGCTCGCTCCTAACCACGACCAAGTCTCAGGGGAAGGAGACTTGGAATATCTGCTTTGGCCATGGCCAATTTCATGCTGGGTGTTGTACCCTCTGGTAATTTAACATAGCTATTGAACATGATCAATTATAGTTGATTTACTTATTATAAATGGTGATTTTCCACAGCTATGTTAGTTTACCAGAGGGTATTCCCATTAAAATCTCTCACTTTTACATATACTTTTGCGGCAGATGTGCATATCGGAATGAGATCGGAATGAGTCATCATTGTACTAACCGTTACTCACCCTAATACATAAACTGGATAAACGCAGGTTG